GGATGTTTGTGAGAACTACCAGGTTATATGTCTATTTGACCAGTCAAATTGTTACGTCTAAAAATCATAAATGTTAACATTTTCTGATCTCTGCCAGATGAGAGTCATGTTTGCAGGTCCAAAAAAAGTGAGAAATGTTTGAACACAGCTGGAAATCCATTCACTTAATTCTGTTTTGGCACATAGTGCAGATAAACCTTGAGGACTGCTGGAAAAAGCATTCTCCTATAGCTGACAGTCTGTTTCTGGATGGATAGGCTGTTTACAAGTCTTGACCTAAGCATGCATAAGGGTAAGAATAAGTATGTAAACAGTATGAGTGATCCCTGTGACTAATTTGTTGCTAATGAAATGCTTAATCATCACTGTTGTGTCTGATCCAACAGATGCTGGATGCTGCCAGTAAGTATCATTTATATATAGCATTAACAGATATTTAGTGCAAAAGATTGTATTCCCTTGAAACTCTTTAGTCTCAGTTTGTATAACGAAGGCAACATTTATTTAATGAAGACAATTAACGTCAATGGAAGTGACACATGCTCATCCATCATCTGACAGGAGATGATGTAGAGGTGTGTAGGAAGGAGGCCTTTCAGGAGCAGCCTGCAGCTGCTGGGACAGCTAATCCTTCCTTGGTTGCACTGGGGAGTGTGAGCGGTGGTGGCACATACGATTTTTTTCTGTTAGCAGCGTGTTCCTCCAGTACATTTCTTGTTAACAGAGCATTGCACAGGCTGACAATTCTGTGTACGAATGGTACTATGTACAACCATATGACAGATGAACAGCTCTCCCATGCAACCAGATTAGCGTTATCTCCATCTTTGCTAAGAGCTAAGACCTCACCGAGTTACTTAGTATGTGTTGTCTCACCCCTTAAATAAGTTAAAGTTACATATGCTGTCATACTCGTGGCTCACAGCACACATGAACAGATTATGGGTGTTTGCAAAGGTGTGATTTTCTCTGAATGTCTTTTTAAAAAGGGATCTACCCTTGGAGAAGCAGAAAGTTGGTACTTAAGAAAGTGTTTGGTCTAGCAATAGGGGAGGCCTTTCTCCCAGGCTAGATGAAGGGTGCTTCTACTAACCTGAATGAAGGCAGAGACTTTTTAATGCTCACTGGTCAGTGATGCCCTATTCTTTTTCCCCCTGTTCTTTCCCCTGCACCAAAATTTTAATGAAATCAGCAGGAAGTGTACTCTGCTACTTAAAAGCTCAATGTACTCTGCTTACTTAAAAGCTCCTAGTTAGCGTATTCCATTGCTGTTATTTAAACACCAAGTGAAAAGCAAAGCAGGCATGGTTTCTGTACAGTTTTCTACAAGGGAACTGCAAAGAGACAGGAAAGTGTGATTATCTACACCATTTTAAAATGGCAATGGTTTGTGAAACACCACTTGCTTCAGTGTTTGTGGCCAAGGAGATCAAACTTTGCAGTAACTGTCTGATTTAGAAGAAATCCTATCCTATAAGATATTCAGTTACATTGCTATTAGGGTCTGTAACTGTACCAAAAATAAAAAATGAGGATTTGATTAGTGAAGTTTAAGTAATTAATTCTTTTTCCTTGTAGTTTTTCATACTGCAGAATTTGAAGGTAATATGAATTTTAGAATGTTACTCTCCTCAGTGGATTGCTTCTTTCCCTCCCTGCTTATAACTGTTTTAACTTCCTGTCGTGGCTTAACCCCAGCCGGCAACTAAGCCCCACACAGCCGCTCGCTCACTTGCCCCTGGTGGGATGGAGGAGAGAATCAGAAGAGTAAAAATGAGAAAACTCGTGGGTTGAGATAAAGACAGTTTAACAGGTAAAGCAAAAGCCACGCACACAAGCAAAGCAAAGCAAGGAATTCATTCACTCCTTCCCATCGGCAGGCAGGTGTTCAGCCATCTCCAGGAAAGCAGGGCTCCATCACGTGTAACGGTTACTTGGGAAGACAAATGCCGTCACTCCAAACGTCCCCCCCTTCCTTCTTCTTCCCCCAGCTTTATATGCTGAGCATGACATCATATGGTATGGAATATCCCTTTGCTCAGTTGGGGTCAGCTGTCCCAGCTGTGTCCCCTCCCAACTTCTTGTGCACCCCCAGCCTGCTCGCTGGTGGGGTGGGGTGAGAAGCAGAGAAGGCCTTGACTCTGTGTAAGCCCTGCTCAGCAGTAACGAAAGCATCCCTGTATTATCAACACCGTTTTCAGCACAAATCCAAAACATAGCCCCATACTAGCTACTAGGAAGAAATTTAACTCTATCCCAGCCAAAACCAGCACACTTCCTTCAAGAAGCATCTAACATTTGTATCCAGATTTATGAAATGTGCCTTCCAGTACAGGAAGTTGTTTGATAAACAATGAAACTAACACTGTCTTTCTTTGGGTCCTACATCCCCACACTCCCAGCCGTACAACAGTAACCTCAGATTTCCTAATATTTCCATTGATTGCAATGCACTCAGGTACTTCTCCAGTGCTTGGAGTCCTCTTTTGCAGTACTTCTGCTCCCTTCCCACTTTACTTAAGTTTCTTGTCTTTATTCCCGTTCCCTGTCCTCACTGCTCTCACCACGCCTACCAGCCACCCATGTCTTTTCCCTCTGTTTTGGTAAGAGTTAGCAAATGACATGTCTGGTTTGCAACCTTGGGCTCTGATTGCCAAGCTCATGAGTTCATCTGGATTGAGCAGCCGGTGGAGGAAACTCACGTAAGGGCTGACCTCTCTTTGCCATGTGCGTGTGTGTCAGGGGGTGGTGGTGGTAGATGCCACCAAGTGCTGCATTCACTACACAGCTCCTGTTTCTTATTAAAGGTGCACAAACTTAGTATCTCTGTTTTAAATCCAGTAGAAAGTAGCCAAAGAACTCAAAGGCTGACTGCATGAAATTCACTTAGGTTAGGAAAGAGGGTCTCAGGATTCTGCAGGAGGGGAAAGAAGTTTTCCCCACCTTGTTTAGTCTGCCGTAGGGAAAATATCCCCCATTAATTTGAACAGATTTGGTTTTATATGGGTATAGTAGATAGACTTCTGCAGGCATAGTTCAGTGGATTTATAATCACAGAAGGCCGGTGTTTGCTACTTGTGTACTTATAGAAGCCCTTCTTGTTGCCTTAGGCTTAGGGAATCACTAAATGGCTTTAATATTTTCCCTTTTGCATTTTTAATTTAGCATATGAAACCACATTAATGTTAATCTTTTGATTTATAGTTACTCTTTTTTTCTTTCTGTTTCTCTATTTTCCCCATAATAAAATCTGGATCGTAGCAAATCATCAGCCTTGTTAATGAAATTTCTTGATCAGGAGTCCGGGAATTCTCTGGGAGCAAGTATTTGCACTCTACCATGTTGTGCTCTAACAGCTTTCGAAAGGGCATGCTGTGAGCTGTGCTTGACGTGGAATAAACAGATGTGCTTTAGCATTTTTTGGAAAGTTGAATGCCTTCAAGAAGGACATATCAATGGCAATTGATAAGCATGGTATTCACTCTATTTCTACTAAATAACCTGATTAAATCTGCAATATCAAAATCAAAGTTTAGAAATTCTGTATTCTCTGCCTTTTCCTTTTCATCTTTCAGATGCACTCTTCCTACAAAACTAAAAAAGCAGAAATTACTTACAGAGAATGCAAAGCATCAACTTTCATATTTTTTGGGGAAGACAACAGTTCCTAAGCTTTGGCACTACTTGCCATGCTGAAAGTGTCTTGTGGGTAATGAGAGGTACTCATTTCACCGAGAAACTTCCATCAGGTGCTGGAACAAAAATAGCACACACAGTCTTTGGGTTTATAAACACAAAAAAGCAATGAATAGACAACATTACTGTCCTACAGAATTAGATACTGAACCTGTTTTTGGTGTATATGTTTAAAAGTAGTGTCCCAGACATAAGCTACCAAGGTGATCTCAAGTCTAGAAAATCTGTCTTGAGAAAAGTTAAAGGGTGCAACTTCCATGGCATTTAGGCAGATTTTTTTTTAAAGCTATTCAGTACAGTTGGATCGTTAATAAAGAACTATTTATACATTTTCAATCCTATGTTTTCGATGAAAGATTGGATCTCTGCCAAAAAACCTGCTTCAGTCAAAACCATCTTTTTATGTTGTGTTTTTGAAATGCCCAAATTATTCATAAATTTTTTAATCTATAACTGAAACATTTCAATGCTTAATCACATAGCAGTGCAGGGACCTGATTCATCCCAGTGATGAAGCCCGAGTCCTTCCTTCTGCAGCACCATGCGAAGGAGCTCTCCGTTCTGTCCTGCCACCAAGGCACCGAGGGATGTCTTGCCTGGTAGGCATTGCCTGTCCAGAGGCTGGGCGCTGAACCTTCTGCTGGGTGTCTGCACAAAACTCCCTCAAGGTATGTCACGATTCCTTGAGACTTACCATTGGCATACTTTCTCTCACCCCGATTTTTTACTTAACACTGTGACAATACAATTTTACTCTGAAGCCTGCCATTAGATAGAGCAAATATAATTTGCATGCAGCATGCTGAGAGCTACCTAAATGACAGTCCCCTTTTAGATACCCTGTCTGTGTCTGACCCCTCAGAGGATTTAAAGAGCAGAAAGAATTTCTGAGGAAAACAGCTCAGAAAGACTTTTTTTTTTTTAAGTTGCCTTTTATTATTGTAATTGCTAATGCAATTACCACCTTTGAGACATGTTCATGATCCTGGCAGACTCACAAACCATCGGGTCAGAATTCAGTTCTAGCCTACAAATGATAATGTACTAATCTCACATCTCTGATCTAGCCAGTGCTGCAACATTAACATGGACAAGCTGAAGAGGTGTGGCTGGCAAAGTGATGGGTAAAGATGCAGTTTGTCTAGAAGTGAGTTTTTTAATGTAAAAGGTCAGTTACTTAAAATGGGAAAACACTCGTGCTCCCAGACTGACACTATCCCTTTAATAAAATGGCTTGGTCTCCCACTCAGCCCTGGCTAAGTGCCTGACTATCTTCATTTAAACTTTGGCCAACTAAACAGCAATAATGGACCATAAAGGATCTAGATGCAAGGTAGAGCCATTTACAAGTGGATAGGCTATTTATTTACAGATTGCTTTATTTTTGTAAACATATTTTCCAGTATGACCTACTGGACATATTTTCTACACTGACAGCTTATTCAATCCACAATTTGCTTTTTGAATGCCTTCAAAGGTAAGAGACTTAGTTATTTCCTTTCTCTTTTTAGAGGACTGCGCTTAGTGTGCAGTCTGTGTATATAACTGCTTGATGGACTTGACGATTTAGGAAGAATGTTTAAATTTAAATATATTGTCTTTGTTATTAATGATATGTAAAATGAATTATTGTAAATTGCAGGCATTTTTTGTAAATCAGTTTTAATGGGGTTCAGTTTTCCCTAGAGATATGTTGAATCACTGACTTAAATGTTGTAATGTTCGTTTTATTAGTGTATACAGTCGTTGTAATAGAATATTGTCTTTATGGAAAATACTGCACACATTCTGTTACAGCCATGTAACATTAATAATACATTCATGTATTGAATTTCATTACTAAGCCATTGTTTCTTAGAAGAATAAGTTGTTCATACTGCTGCTCCAGACCTAGGTAATATATCTGCATCCCAAAACACCCAGATCTTTGTTTATTCCTAACAATTAGGGATTTCTAGAAACAAACTGTATTCTGTGTTCTCTATAATATTCCTGCTAATTTAATATAATTAGTTTAATAGCAAAGTATGTTAATAGCAATACACATTAGTAACAATTTCTTTTACCCTTCTTTGTTAGAGGGTAAAAGCACTGGCTTTTTTTAAGAAAGAAAAGGAAGCACTGTGTTTGTTCTACCCATATTTATTCTTTAATAAAACAGGTTCTAATATACATATGAGCTACAGTTGGGCTTGTACTGGCTGCTATGCTTAAATCAGCTACCCAGTGTCTTTTTATAATCATTTTTTATATGTTGTCTCTAGAATTGTGCTTCCCACAAATGTGTATTCTATATGTAAAGTATCTGTATTTATTTATTTGCACCTATTAATGAAGTATTCACAGGTGGTTTTTTACTTTTAACAGGAAGGAGTTGTCTAATTTGGGATCAAAGTCACTATGTGGAAAAAACATTTTTTCTTTTGCTTTTTACTTCTGGCTGTGACAACAAACCAGATAGTATATGGGCAAAACAGAAAGAAAGGGAAGAAGTCTTATTCTCTCGTGCAAAAAGATGAAGGTAAAACCATTTTCTTAAAATTTCTGATTGACCATGTTGTATGTCTCCGCATATTTCAGGATCATTAGCTAGTGATTGACAACTTATGTATGCATTTATAAAGTGTGATTTATTTTGATTATGAGGCCTGGAAAATACTGTGGTGACATTTACTTGGTCATGGACTCCAGTTTGATCTATGATTTTCATTGACACGCATATCTCTCAAGATAAATGATAAGGAGTCTAAGTTTTAGTTTGAAATTGCATGTGGAAAATTTTGTATAGAGAGTCAACTAAAATGCTAAAACAATCCCATCAAGACCCGAATTTGAAAGTTTTTGTCTGTAGACTGTATTTAATAATACTGGTATGAATTAAAGTAACTTAAATTTAGTTACTTGACTTCAGTAGCATTTCTTGGCATTTACAATGAAATTTATCCTTAGAATTTTTACTGGGAAGACAGAGGAATCCTTGGGGAAATGATTTGAGGATTGGGATTGTTGCAGAGAATTATCTGAAAGCTGTTGTGCAGGTGTGCCCATCATTCATAGATTTAACTTTCTTGTTCCATTACAGGTGATACGTGTCTCGTTGATATAGTCTTTATCTTGGACAGTTCAGAAAGTGCCAAAAACCAGTTGTTTGATTTACAGAAGAATTTTGTTCAAAACTTAACTGACAGTATTTTCCAGATGAAGCCAGTTAAGTCTCAGAAGTATAATGTCAAACTAGCAAGTATGCAGTTCAGCAGCACAGTCAGCATTTATCATCCCTTTACAGCCTGGAAAAACGTGCAGAATTTTAAAGAGAAAGTCGAGTCTCTGGGCTTTATTGGCCATGGCACCTACTCCTATTATGCAATTTCCAATGCCACTCAGCTGTTTAAAACTGAAGGTCGTAAGAGAAGTGCGAAAGTGGCTTTTTTGATGACTGATGGTGTGGATCATCCAAACAGCCCTAACATCCAGGGTATAGCCACAACAGCTAGGAGTCTTGGAATACATTTTTTTACCATTGGCCTTTCTAAGAAAAAAGTCCAAGAAGAAAAATTGCGTATGATATCTGGTGATTCAGCCTCTAAACACATCTTATGCCTGGATGATCAGAACCTGATAGTTGATGTAGCATTGGAACTGGTAAGTAATGCTGATGTTAATCTTGTCACGCGTCTATCCATGTCAGATTTCATTTAGCTTTGATAAGTAAGTCCTGAAGGCAGTGCAGAGGTTTTTGTGGTGCGTGTCTCTGCTACATCCAGAGTCAGGACAGAGGGAGCTTCCTCCTCCCAGCCGCTCTCCAAGGAGTTGTGTGCTTGGACAATAATAGCTCAGCTGCACTGATCACTGATGGAGGGACAGGGTATTTCCCAGCACACAGAGTGTGTCTCTGAGCGTATGATAATACTTTAGAAAGTAACTTGTTCTCATGCGTAAGGCTGATAAAATCACTGAGTCCTTCCCCTATATATTATGTTAGTAGAGTCTTCCATAGTAAGGCCTTTCATTAGGAAGTCTTTTTATATTCCCCTTGTTAGCATTGTTTTTTAATGTTGTCTATTTAGCTGTCCCATTACATCTCATTTGTTTTCTGATCATTATGGGTCACATGAAGTAATCCCCTCTTCCTACCGGAGAACCCTTTTTCATACAAATAGTTCCACAGACTGGTTCTTACCACTTTGAGGAAAGGATGAAGGATGAAGGTATTCACATTCTTTACCATTCACCTTGGAAATTCTGTAAACTAGAGAGGAAAAAGGGTTAAATTAGTACTCTGTTAAATTAAATCTATATGAAAGTAATATTTTTCTTTTCTTTTCAGGAAGCCTTGCTTCAGAAGCAGGTAGGGTTTTTGAGTTTTGTGTGTTTTGATTACTCTTATTCATACTAGATCTCCTGATGTCTGCTGCTTCTATAATGCCACAATACTCCAGGATTAATCAGCCTTCCTTCCCTGAGTAAAGGTTCCAACCATGATTGCTTTTATTTTAACTTTCATCCATTTCTTCCATCCCTTCTGAGAAATCTACAACTTCTGTCCATTAGTGAGTAGTATCAACAGTAAGACATAAAGAACTCTTCCTACCAGAGTGGAATAGGACTAGTACAGCACATGCAAGTTCATTAGTGGTCTCATTAGAAAACTATAGCAATGTCAAAATGCTCCAAAAATTATGTAACATTTCACGGTACTATATACTATGTATATGCTACCTTAAATGTTTGTAGTTACAGTAGTAACAGATTTATTTGTTTTTGTTATAAATAAATCAAGCAACTGATTTTGATTGGGCTATACAGAAGTATAAGCCCAATATGTATTATCTTATAAGCCAAATTGTATATTATCTTATATAATGTTGATTATATAAGAAATATATATATTAGAAGATCATTTATTTCCTGTTATTCCACTTTTATGTTCTCTAGTCTGTGGCTAGGCAAAAACAGAGTTTATGCTTTAAAAATTTGAAATAATGCCTTTGAAAAATGTTCTCCTTAATGTTTCTGTTAACCTTGTAGTGTATGCGGAAGAACTGTGGGTGTGAAAAGGGAGTAAAAGGAGACAAAGGTGATTCTGTAAGTATGCATTCATTTGAAAAGCCTCCAGAATTTGAATTGTAATCATTGAGATCAGTGTTGCACAGTATTTTAATTGGTTACTGTGTCTGTAAAAAGCAAGACATTAGCTGTGCATGTACTGCAAAAAGAAGTGATGTATCATAGCATATCACTGTGAAAGGCCACTGTTACAGGAGCTCAGAAGAAAATCTATCCATAATCACATACTATCTTGGAAATATATTATTGGGTAATAAAACACTGTGGATAAATAGGTACATGATTTTGAAGCCCAAATCAAAAAGTTATTCTCGAATCTCGCAATGGGGAAGGAAAGGTCCATTAGACAAAGGTTTACTTCCACCAGCAGCTTCTATCTGTGTAAGGGATAAAGGTTCAAAAGACTGAGGGTGATGGCATATATGAAGAAAGGTCTAAAACTCTGCCTCCAACACTCTCTTTGCTCTTGTGACACTTCAACACGTAACTGTTTCTTGGCTCTGGTAAAGAAGAGAGAAGTGGGAGTTCAGACAGCGTGTGACCTCTCTGATCCCTTTTGTAGCTTTAATAGCTCCCCCAGAGACAACCAAGGTACATACAGAGGTTTTTGCCTTTCTCCCTAGACACTAAGCAACTGGTCAACCATATGTGTAGCAGGTTATGACAGCAGGGCCTATCATCCAGTCCCTTGGCTCTGGATAATGTGCATGTGGAACTAAAACCTCTGTTTCCAATTTAAAATGTAAGATCCAAGAATTTTAAGTTGCTTTGTCCAAAATTATTAGATGTAACCTATTATATATGCATTTTTTATATATACACATATACACCAAGATTTCTGGTCCCCACCTTCGTGATCCTCCAAACAGGAATAACGGTGTAGTAATTTTTTATTTTGGGGCTGCTGAATATTGACACTAAGCTGTTCTGTGCACAGGGTTTTTTTAAGCAGAGAAGATAAGATAGTGGTGGGTAACGCTGAAAAATGGGGAGGAGGAACTGTGCATGTTTTCTGTGACACCTTCCTGGTTAGATTTTCAAATGCTCTGTAGAAAATGTATTTATCATTGAATATTGATTAAAAAAATCACAGATACCTTATAATACCAGATTTTTTTAACTAAGTGAAAGTAGTGTCCCATGTGCCATACCTGAATCAGTGTGGGTTTCTACCTAAGCTTATTCCAGAATGATTTTGGCCTGCCCCCAAAATATAGTCTTAGAGAAACTGGAGAATTTTATCCTCACAATGGTAATAACATTTTCCTGCTTTGTTTCAGGGCAGTGCTGGTAACAGAGGGGAAAAAGGTGAGCCAGGACCAAAAGGAAACAAGGTAAAGTGAATTTTAGAAAATAAAGCAAATTTCTATCTAGTTTTATTCAAACCATAGAAGTGAATATAGCAAAGGAAAAGTATGTTAAAATATGATTTAAAAGATTGACTTTTTCTATGAGAGGTTTATAGTTAGCTGCTTTAGAAGTGAGAGAGAAAAATTTGAAACTAAACTGCTACCAAGTTAACACTGCCTATCATTCCAGTTTTTCTCTGACAGCAGAGGTCTCTGAATCTAGCTGAAGGCTCTCTAAGCTCCACAGGGCTTTCTAACAGTACACAGATCTCTTGAGCAGAGCGGCTCGCTCTGATGACTAAGATTTCAGTCATCTAATAACAGTAGTTGAGTTTTCTATGTTAATGTTCAGGAATTGTGTGTCCTTGATTGTGGGAGGAAGAAGTGTGGATCGTAAATAGGAGAAGCAACTTCTGGTCCTTAAACAGTGTTCTTGGTTTTAGTGTAATAGTGATAAATTAAAGAGCAATACATATTTCAGTTGTATTCCTTTGCTTCCAATAGGGCGATGCTCAGAAAGGAGATCATGGAGAAAAAGGTGAAGAGGTATGTGACTACTACAGTGCTAACTCATATTTGGTCTTTTCAGATTATCTTCCAGATCCTGATTCACAGTTTAGTTCCACTGAACTGAAAGTGCATTTTCCATTTTTCACACATCTACTTTATTCAGTTATTTAGAGCACCTAAACTAAGTTCTGGTTTAGTGAAGCATCTATACTGAGAGAAAGAGTCTAACCATGTCCTTAAGTATAGAGATGGGATGCTGCTGACAAAAGGAACTTTTGAAGCTATGTGATTTTGTATTGACTTGCATTAGACTTATTCCAAAGATAGAATTGAAAATGTCATCACTAAAAACATCTAGATGGTTCTCCAGTGGCTTCTGACATCTGATATTTCTCAGCTTGAATTCTTGTTGATTCACAGTAGAAAGATTAACACTACTCCATCCATAAGATCAATTCAGTTTAAAAGTCCCATTTAAATGATAGCATATATCTGCTAAGAGGCTGGCAAACTGAGTGGTGTATTTACAGCTAATGTTATGAGGAAAAAATACACATCTATATTTGCAGAGAATTATGTGTTAAATGATTCCAGAGAGATATTTTATTGTTGTGAATAGTTAAACTTCTGAAACGTAATTCTTTATTGTTTTTTTTTCCTACTTAAATTAGCAGTATGTTACACCTTTGCTTTCTCTTTTATGATTTTTTTCCCTTTTTTTTTTAAATTTTCGAATAGGGAGCTCCTGGCTACAAGGGAGACAAGGTAAGATTTTTATAGAATAGAAGTAGTCTGAAAATAGATTGTCACTTGCTGACAGTGTATGTGAAAGAATGGAAAGAAGAGCCTGTCCTGTCTTTTTGTCATGAGAGCTCCTAATGCAATGCCTAGAAGTAAATTCATCATTTATGTAAATGCTTGCAGACTGGCCTGTTGGAATTAAAAAAAAAAAATCAGAAAATGTAATCTAAATATAAAAATAAAAATGTCAAAGACCAGAAATAAAGCTTCTGGAAGGAAAAAGAAAGTTGAGGGTTGAATAAGAGGTTAAGTATAAAGAAAGTGAAATTGTTTACTACAAACACAAATAGATGTGGCAATCATTAGCTTTCAAAAAATTTACTACAAGGAATCTTACTTTTAAGCTAATTATAACTTGCAAGGGCTAATGCTTGATCAAAAGAAATCTCAAGATAGGCTCTCCAAGAAGCTAAAAAAATTATACACTTCAATGACTTGGAGGATTCTAGCTGTGAAATTTATGTTGCAAACTGGACCATCATAGCCAGAACAGAAACGGAGATAATCCCATTGACTTTGCTTCAAGAGCTGAAATTTATGTTGCAAACTGGACCATCATAGCCAGAACAGAAATGGAGATAATCCCATTTTGACTTTGCTTGGTTTGGGCACTTATCTCTCTACATTGTTAATAAAAGCAGTGCCTCTCTGAATCTTTGTATTCATTAGAAAAATGCTTCAGTCAATTTTATGGAAACATTTCATGGAAGTGGGAAAGGGACCTTTAAAGGTCCCTTCCAACCCAAACTATTCTATGATTCTATGAAAAGTAGACTCGTATGTCTACTTTTCATATGTCTATTGATATGTTAAATCATCAGTGGAACGCATTAGTAATTGTCTTCATTCCATTTGTACAATCTCACAATTGTTATTCAGGAAAATCTCAGACATCACAGTAATGAAATCAGAATATAGAGAGGATCTCTGGAGACAGTGCAGTGAGGTGGAAAAATACAGCAAAACTTATTAGGTATTAAAAGTATTATCCTCTTATGATGTAGGTTGGAAATTTTGTAGGCATTCTCAGAGGGAAAAAGTATCTATCTTGAGTAGAGCAGACCGTATCTTCTACAGACCATATCTAATGAGGCCACTCTCAGGTCCTCAGAATCTAGTAAATCTCTTGGGCTACTGAACTGCTTGCAGTCTTTAATGCATGTAGTGTAATCAAAACATCTTGTTTAGCTGTTAACCTTTTGACTTCTTATAAAGGGTGAGAGAGGAGAATGTGGATCCCCAGGAGTAAAAGGGGAAAGAGTAAGTATAATTTTTATTTGAACTGTTTCACATTGATGAAGATACTAGAAAATCATGTAATATATTCGTAAACATAGTTTGTAAAGATTATTGTAAATTTGGAACATCTTATAATTCCGTGGTAGTAGAGATATATTCATAGTAGAAATACGATTCGTAGAAACTGAACCCACAGTTCACCATATTCTTTTTTTCCATTTTGCAGAAGAAATGTAGTCACTTTTACCTAAAAGAAAAGCTGTCCTGACCAATGCCAAGCCCTGCTTACAAAGGACTGTGAGCATGTTACAGAGTTCACCAGATTTTTTTTTTCCTTAAAATGTTAATTTTAATTCAAGTGTATAAAGTTGTATTACAATAGAAGCAGGTTCTTACACAATCTGAACAACTTTCAGGTCTACCAGCCCATCTGTGCTGATAATGCATTCACACTTCTACCTAGTCCTCTTCTTCTTTTAACCTGAAGTGCAGAAGTGATACAAGTGAATATAGATTTTTACCTGGTTTTTACACTCTGAAAGATGGAAGGATAATGTACTCCTGAGTGAGATAATCATGCATCTTGAGTTCATGTAAGCAGGTTTGTATGACTGCTACAAACCACTGATGTATAGTTCGAGTTGTTAAGTACTACCAACTAGATTGCAATTGATCATTCTATTAAAGCACATTTCTTCAGTTTTAACATCCGTATTATGTTTACCTTTATCAAAGACCAACTTGAAAAGTTTGTGGTTCCTGGAACCTGTAATTTGATGATGAATTTCAGGTAGGAATTAGAAATATTCAAAGCAGCAGTATTTGTCACAAAGAAAAAAGGGCATTATACTATAATAAAAACCTAAAGGCTGAGAGTATCTTGTGAGATGCTAGGGTTCAAAATGGCAGCAAGTGAGTCAGAAAAGGCTGAAATATCGATGAAAAAGGAGAAAGAGTTGCATCTCTCAGAGGAATAAGGAAGATCATAACTTCTTTATCCAGGCAATATGTGAGAAGTAGCATGAGGTTATGTGAAATGTCTACTAAGATAAAAAGAAGCTGTTCAGAAACTGGCAAAGAACATAATCAAAGCAGCCAAGAAATCTGGATGTAGAAAACATATGCCAGGGCTGCCAGAAGTTCGCTTGTTTCATTTCTGTTGAGGACAGTGATGAAAAAAAAAAGTTTGACATCTGCAGAGGATCAGAGATTATAATGGATTAAGGACTTCAAGAACTTAGTGAACAAATGAAAATCAGTCTAGTAATTCCAGAATTCCCAGCTTCACATTTACAAATGCAGAAGATAGAACAAAATGATTTTTTTTTTTTCATGAAAGTAGTCTATGCTGGACAAAATCATCAGAAACAGAACATACATGGCCAAATGTATAAGAAGTAAATTCAATATTCCGAGGGGCATCTTTAACTGCAGTGATGGACATTGAAGTATAATTGGCAGTAGTGTTGTCTGATTTGAAAATGTGGCATTTTTCCCCCGCCGCTTTCCAATCTCACTAATCAGACTGAGTCCAGCAGAGGTTTTGATGCTGTGAATCTGAGTTTTTTCAAAAGCTGTTCAGGCTTGAAATTCAGACAGTTTGTGTTCAGCTTTGAAATCAAAACTGACTCCAATCATATGTGTGTATTCTACCAAAAGTAGCTATCATCGCATCAGCATATTGTTGTTTGTGCCATCCATTGCTTGTGTAGTTTTGTAAATGGGCTAGAACGGAATGGGGTTAACTGCTCTCTCTGGTGGCTGATGCTTGGCCTGGGAGCAAATGCCAGGGAGTAGAGAATTGTTAAAAAATTCTGAATCTGAATCTGTAGAGGAAGACAGTCGATGGGGTGTGGCTGCGCAGGTATCACTGCTAAATTCGTCAAGGCCTTTAGAAGTTCAAAACGTGACACATGCCTTGAAAAATGCAGCAGTCTGCCAGTGCCTCTGTGTGCGGAGATGTTGCTAATTAAAAGAGAAGAAAGAGAAAGAAAAGACCGGTAAACTATTTGCTGAAAGCTATTTTTGCTTTAGAAATAAATTATAACTGAGTATTGAGTCAACTAGAAGTGAAATCCCGTAGAATATGCATTCTGGTGACTGAAGAAAAAACAGTGCAGGAGAAAGATTTGTGAACAATCTACAGTGGCTGTAACTGGTAAGAACTCATTAAATGGAGAAATGACAGCTAATGGAATAAAAAAATATGGCATTTTACTTTTTTTGGATGTGTTTTTTAATGTTTTTTGCGAACTATTAGTGTGATTCTGCCATGCTCCTGATCTGCAGTTTGAGTTAGTGAGACAAAGTTACCTGAAGTTATTCTGGTGTAAGCACTGCAGCATTTTTTTAAGATTCTGTGTCTAGTATAATTCTAGAAATTAAATTTAAAGACCTGTAGCAAATAACAACTGGTTAATCAAATAGCTAAGATGTTAAGTAGCCATCCACAATGTTTGTTGTATATGAAAGGTATTTTAACCAAATATTGAGGATGGAATGTAACAGGCAATTACTGAATACAGAGTGAGAACAGCAGTACTCTGGAGAGAGAATAAACTCCCTAGAAAGTGCTTGAACAGAGATATGAGTCATTACATGTACACTGCAGTTTTCAATACTTTAAAGCAGATTATTGCAATTTCCTATTAATCTGATAATTGAGTCTTATTTTTCCTCAGGGTTTGGAAGGTCCTTTTGGCCCTAGGGGACCTCGGGGACCTCAGGTAAGGGAACTAAAAGCTACCAAATAAAAAGAAAACACATTATATTCTGTAAGGTTCTTTCTGCATACAACCTGTCAGCTCTGTGGAGAGCAGCACGTTTGGTGCATGAGACACCAAGACAGCAGAGTCTGGCAAATCTTTGTCTTTTGGAAATAATTTTCAAAGAAAAAATCTTGGCTGCTGCTGCTGCTTAAAGCTGCTCAGAGGTGCGTGGCCCACTTGGGCTCTCCAACTGCAGGGATCTCCTCTTACCCTTAGAGTATAATCGTGCCCTGTCATACCCCTACTTGCTAAATTCCTCTTCTATTACGTGGCAGCGTCCTGCTGTATCTTGGAAAGCTGTACACAGTCCTTCTTGAAACATAAGGCAGCCAGAAAGACTGAAATTTGTTGGGGAGGCTAAAATCTGCAGTAATTATTTCAAAACCTGAGCAATGAGTCAGAGAAAGTCTCAGTATTATTAGGAGCAGAGATTGTTACCACTCTCAGATCAGTGATCATTTATTTGTTATCTGTGCAGAAGTCCAGATCGTCCTCTTCTCTCTTTGCAGTTGCTGAAAAGGGTTATTGCTGTCTTTGTGTTTCTTACACCCTGTGTAATTTCCATTAAAAAATTCATACTAGACATGTAAAAAGAGCTGCTGTATGGAGTAGACATCTCAAGAAGTTATACCAGTCTCCTAGTAGATCCCTAGGTGATGTGGAATGATGAAGGCCAGCACTTGCCCACTCACTTCTCTGCTGAGCCTGTTTCTGGGTTATATGAAAGAAAACATAAGGGGGGCATGATATGGTAACAGAAATTTATTACATGGTATTAAGATGTGAACATTTAGTCCTAAATGCCATTTTCAATGTTTTTAAATTACGTTTTTCTGCTTTCCTTTTGCTTGGCAATGGACATGCAATAATGCTACAAATTTATTAATTTATTATTTTATGCTCCAGTAATTCTGTCTGGTAAGCAATTAGTAAAGATGTGATCTGTGCCCCAAAAGATGACACTTACTTATTCTTGTTTATTAGAAAATGGAAACACACGGAGTCTAAGAGTTTTTTGGCCAATTTTGACAGGAATTAATGAGACAAATCAGATCACCAATCATCAGCATTTCCCTACATAAATTCAACTCACCGTGCAGTATATGTTCAGTTTTGCACACTCTATAAAATACCAGCTGCTGTTGCAAGTCAAGCCTCGTACAATGACATAACCTGATTATTTTAAGGCAAAATCAAATTGTTTTTTTCTTTTCATATACAGCATCACTGCAATTACTCCTACATTATCCTGGTTTTGAGCTTGATGTTACATATCGTCATATAATACAATGGTCTACATTCAGTTTAGGTTTGAAAGGCTCATTACAAAAAAAAATCCTAACTGCTGGAAAACAGAAGCGGATGAATGTACCACTATACAAGAGGACTAATCAATGGTTACAAGGATTTACTGTAATTCTGAGCTATGAGAACTAAGTAATTACCATGGGAACTACAACCTGCTTAATGACTAAAAGGAAGATAGCATGCAATGAGCTTGAGAATGATTTATCTTATGTATTTATATTAACAGATTATATTATGTATTTCTATTAGCACACCCTGCCTCAAGCACATTGCCATTTTACTGCTGGGACATTTGTCCCTCTCACATCATGGTCGTAATTTTTTACCTCAGGAAGAATAGCTTATAAAAATGTGATTTTTTCAAAGTCCCTTTTGGAAATGCTTTTCAACTACTAAGAGATTTTAAAGAAATATTTTAGTTCTTTATATGACACCAAGATACTAAGAGAATAAAGTAGAGTTTGCTTCTTTTGAAACAAACAAAACTGCAAGATTCCTTTTAGTAAACAGTACTCAATTAAAACGCATAAACCAAGGACTAAGGCCATATTACTGTGAGTTTGTGCACAATACAGATTCCTTTTAGTAAATAGTACTCAATTAAAATACATAAACCAAGGAGTAAGGCCATATTACTCTGAGTTTGTGCACAATACAGCACTTGGGACATCACTGTACTGTTATGAGACAGTTATTCCCTAGTTTGTAAAGTTATGATTTGAGCATAATTTGGAACACTAGCTATATTCATTTCATTCACTGTTTTCCCCCCAATATTTGATTTGTGGTCGTATAACTGTTACTTAGGTGTGTGATTGCATTTTTGCATGCTTTGTGCAAAAGCTGCAAAAGAAAGGAGAAAATAATAAATATTTTTTTTCTGACTGGAAATCCATGGGAGATACAAAATCACAGATATTCCAAAATTTTCATATCTGTTTGTGAGCCAAAATGCAATATTCTGGAGGATTTACTAAAGCTATTAATGATGGTAGCTGAAAGGGATTATTTTTGTTTCTTTTTGGATAGTCATGCGTTTCCTGTAATTTATCATATTTAAGAACGGGAATGAACACACTCTGAGCACATTTTTGTGTCAGCAATGAAACCAATACGTTTACATTTGGGCCAGTTTGTGTCTTTTTATAAGCATAAAATGATCCATATTTGACCCAGCATTTTTACTACAATAAACTGTAATTTTGTGGTATTATTCTTTTGATAGCTCATGATTTTTTTTTTCTCCAGTCATTTAAAAAACTTCATGAGGCTTCCACTTCATTTTGATTGTCAGCTCTGTTAGTGGTAGTTGCAACAACATTGACCAATCTGACCCAACTGGGCAGCCCAGCAGATGCCAGTGGGATGTTCACTAACTCACAAGTCGGGTTCCCGGAAGAGTTAAAGCTTTAACGCCGGACTTGGGTGTAATCTATTCATCCTGTGATCTTATTGCTCTTCATAATTATCAGACCTCCTTTTTTCTAGCTACCGTACCAGCCACTGTATTGGTGAAGGGACCTCCTCAAATGTCATCACTCCAGACAGAGTACCTTACCTGCTCTGTCTCTTCCAAAGAGCCATTAATTATTTCCTTGTGTGAGGGGACACAATGGTTGTAGTAATGTCAGGGAATTAAAATTAATCTCAGCTCATCATCACAGAGAGATGAGGGGAACTGATCTCTTACAAACGCAGCTAAATAGGACATGACGGCTTAGTTTATTTGCTTGGGCAGAAGAGAGAATATGAAAATATGGCAAAGTCAGGAGCAGGAGGAGAAAGGAACGGAAAGCTTCAGATAAAACAGATGCAATTCACATGGAGTAGTAAGATATCCTTTCTGCCAGCACTGGTTATTGAATATTAACAATATTCAATGTGTTGGGCACTTCCCAGGATAGGACACAGAAAACTCTTGTCCTTTAGAGCTTAGCATTGTGCTGTGTTTTACTGTACTCTGTTCAGGCCAAATTCAAAAGAAACTTCACATGCATCTTCAAAGGCAACTCATTCTATACTTTGGCTTTTGTGTAGGGTATCAGCGGACCTCCAGGTGAGCCAGGCCCGAAAGGCATTCAAGGAAGCAAGGTAAGATGTAGTTGTATATGTGTAGATGTTATTTATGTAGAGAGAGAGGATGCAGAAACTCTGTGTAGAATCTTTATACTCTACTCTCCTTTTTCCTCAGTAGTTTTTTGTTAGTGGTGTCCTTTGCACAGCGATATTGTACACCACCTGCTTGGTGCACCATAGCGTCATCATGATATGAAGGCTTTGTATTGTTGGCACATGCAGCTGGTTCTCCATCTGGGTCTCCGAGAGCATTTTGTAGGGCCACAATAGGGTGCTACCAAGGACCTGCCTAGAGCCACAGCACTTAGGTTGGAATTTAAATCACCTGAATATGTGTCTTGGCTTCTTAGCTTCCCTTGCTGTCACTTGGGAAGTTTTTTCTAGAATATTTTTGACTAAAATGCCTTGTGTTTAAAGATTTTAAGTAATTCTAGATGGTGGTTATAAAATCTTTAGATTGAGTATTTTAAGTCATTTTTAATTGCTTGTATACTGTAAAAACTCAAGACAACTTTGAAATTGGTAGAGGTGTAAGATTTGATGATGATTAATGCCTTAGTTATGTTTAAAATAGATCATTTAAAGTTAATGACTACAGCTTGTCAAGCAAAATCAGTTGGATAAAGTATCTGATTAATGTAGGCAGTCTTCTGGCTTGCAAACCTTTGGGAAATTGCTTTATGTGAATACAGTTGTCTTGCCCATGGGACAGCTATTAACATCATTGTTCGGTACAGAAAGATCTTTCATGTATCAGTTTGAAAATGTAGAGTCTAATGACAAAGACTTTCTACCACAGGATTATTGATAGCCTGGTTAATACAATGCCACATATAAGTTATACAAGGCAACAAAATTCACACAAAGCAGTTTGCCAAAGATGCAATATTTAAACACTCATGTTTGTTTCTTAGGCAACAATTTCATTTGAAGATTCACAGAAGTAAATTTAGATATGGGAAATGTTCACGGTAAAAAGTTTGGAATACTGGCATCCATCATGATTTTACTCTTCCTGACAAATGCTTTTTCATACTTTTTATTTCTTCATCTTCTCAACAAAATGCTCGATTAGGAAAGCTGCTACAGAATATTTCAGAAGTGGGGAAAGAAAGAGCATGATGGGTCTGAAAGAAGCTATTCATACATGTGGTGGAAAAGTCATGCCTCTCTTTAACTTCAGCACAGCAAATGACTAATTTTTCTATCTGCCATTTCACACTGATCAGTCCAAGATAGTACTACCAGATACTTTTATTATACACTAAACCGTATTTGTTGAATGTTGTTTGTCCTCCTGTCAGTCTCTTCACACACTTTCATGTCTGTAAAATACATGCAGTTGTCTCTAGAATTCTTCTACCTGGATATAATATTTATTGTCTTTTCTTATACTTTAGCTGCAGATTTTCAGTATGAATAAGAAAGAAAGTTCCCTCTTTTTTCAGCTTCCAATTCTGCAACCTGCTGCTTAAAGTTTATAGTCAAGGTTTTTCCAGGCTCAGACATCTTTCATAATAAAAATATCACCAGGCAAGTTTAATTAATACACTTAGGTAATTATACTTAAAAGAGTATAGCAGAAACATATGTATGTTTAGAGGTTGTCTCTTGTCCATACCTAGCACTGAAGCTAACCTTTGACATTTTGGAACTTATCTAAGATGAGTGAAAAATTTTTTAATGATCAGTACAGATAATCGGTGGTTGTTTACAGCTTAATAAACACCCATTCAGCTAGTAAAGGTCACAGCCTTTTTTGGTTCACACACATAGCAGTCTTTCCAATATCTTTTGTCCTTACAGAAGGATTATTCAATTGCTCTTTTAAAATTAGTTTTCATGACACATAATACAATATCTCTGAAAAGTGGCAGTTATTTATAACTGCCTTGGATAAAATAAATAAGTCTATTCTCAGTGCAGTTCCTTATACCCGTGGCCTTTCCATGCTAATACTTTCTGCTTTTTGAGCTGAACTAGTGACTTCACCCCGGTTTAGCAGAGCTAAAGGCAGTTGCATGGCATTAGTATCGATGTGACATAACACAGAACACCGCCGCTGAACACTTTTATTCATTGTTAGTGGGCCATGTTGAGGTTTGAAAGAGGAGATTCAGTTCCTCAAAATATAAACTCCGGATCAAGCTCAGCCTACAGATGTTTTGGGTCTCATTTGTGAAGTCTACAGTTCACTCATCTATCTGGTCAGCTCAGTCCATCCCACACCTCTATAACGCAGTGCCGTACCCATTCTCTCGCTTTGCAGTGCCAGGTGGCAGACACGGCTGGGGATAGTGTCATCTGTGTGCTGTCTGGATGCCCCTGGCTCTGGCAGCCACCAGCAGGAGAGTATTGATGGCATTGCAACTTCAGCTAATTTAATTTGACTTGTCTGAAGCAAGGTAGCATGGAGTCCAGAAACATTGTCCAAGAAATTACTTAAAAGAACTTTTCATACCTTACTTCTTCTGTTATTCATATGCATTTTCTTATTCTCTTTTAAGCTGCTGGCTAATCTATCAGTGTGAAGTCTCACTGGCTGCACAATACTCTACTTCCATCTCTTTTCATGATATTGCCTTATCATATTGCCCGTAATGAGTTGAATCTCTCTCAAAGTCCCACTGCCTGCATTGACCAGCTTTCCACTGACTACAGCAGGAAATCAGCCAACCTGTTTCCACGTAGACACCTAAGTTTAGGAGTGGTCATATGGAGCTGAATCACATCCTTAACCTCTTAAAGTCTTTCTGATGCACTTCGCAATCAGTGCTTATCTTTAATAACCTCTTTAATATACAAGCAAACTTCATCACTTTACTTTCACCCTCCGTTAAAGTCATGTATGAATATGTTCCCCAGCCTATATTCTTCACAGAATGCGGCTCAGCGTGGCATTAACTAAAACCAGTTTTTGCTATTAAGCAAGCTTTAAAAAAAGTTTTCTCTATTTGCATTTCTGCAAAGTTATAACATCTCAAAAACATCTAAATAGTTTTATTACCATATATACAACCCTTCTCTATAAAGAGGTTGAGGCATTAAAGATGACAAATTTGAACTCCGCTTCTATAAAAATAAAAATACATGTTAACTCATCTTATATTATTATCAATTTACCTGACTAAATATATTTCCATTTAACCAAATGCTGAACGTGCATGTTAACAGTAAACCTACAACACAGTATAAAACGTAATAACTTTAAGAGAAAAACGTTAGAGAGTAACGGGACATTTCACTCAAAACGCAGTTAGGAGTTGGGAACTGGCTGTTTTCACTGTGTATCTCCTGTCTTCTGAAGCAGTCATCTTGGTCCTGTTCCCCAAGCATGTTCTGAGCAAAGGACCAGGATTATTCAGTTTGTTTTCTGTTTTACTGACTTTCTATTGCCTATTGGCAACATTTCAATAGAAAGATGTTAAATTTACAAAAGAAAAATCATATCGTTAAAGCCAAATTCTATGTTATTTTCTGTCTCTCACTAACTTAAAATACCAAGAAAAAATACCATTCACAGCTGTGCTTTATATTTTCTTAGACATTTGCTTCACTTAAAGGCATTCTTCAACTTCATCAGCCACCACATACTATCTGCATTGTAACATAAAATAAAAACTTGAATCAAAGTGTACCATGTACCTCATTCATCTATAAAACATGTAAAGAAAATTACAAAAACCCCACAGGAAAAAAATTTGTGGTTCTTTTAAGTTATCACACACAATTGAATTTGCAGAACATCAATTTATAACCCTGGGTCTGAGGTAGAGACACTCAATTCTTGTCAGACTGCAGCTTATGGGAGCAAGGAACTCAGATTTTGTGTTCCTTGTCTCACTAAGAATGCGAGGGTGGCCCATGATATGATTTTGCTGGCTGATGCAACCATTTCCAAAAAACCCAGAAGACACTATCTCACTTAGAGAAAGACTGAAAGTACCAGAAGCAGAAAGTCGGCAAAGAGAAGAGCCATGCCGCTCTTGGTTCTGCTCCAGTAGTATCCCATATTCCTGCCTAGATGGCCAGGAATTGGCTAGATGGCTGGTTAATAGGTGGTTTGGGGATTAAATCAGTTGTGGTTGCTTTTGCTTGGTTTGTTTCTCAAAGATCACATTGAATTTACTACAGGAAGCCATAGGCGTTCAAAAGGGGACACAGGACATAAAGTCAGTATTCTCTATTAATAGAAACAAAAGATTTACTTGCTCTATAAATGTAATATATTCTGTCATAAGCAGTAGTGTCCAGAAACATTATCCAGTGAGAATCCCATCTCTCTTCCAACATTCCCAGTAACCTGTTTTCTGTCATTTTCATACTTGGGTTCTACATATCTCTTAACTGCATTGGTTAATACAGTAAAATAGCGTCCTAACTGGCTACTGCATTTACTTTTGTTGGATTTATTTATTACCACTTATATTATGTGGCTATGTTCTCATTAGAAGACAGCTTTGCCCTTCAATAGCAATAAAAAAACAGGAAAAATGCAAATATTCTAACACAAAAGGACTTGATGCGTCTTGGTTTCTTCTCTAAAAAGGAAACGGAATTACCAGGGTTCTTCTGGAAAACCGAGGTCTAGGAATTAATATAATGCCCTTTATTTTGGTCAAGCAAATCTCTCAGCCCTAAGGTTCTGCTGCTTACATTTTTGCAAAGCTAAATTACCTCATTGGGGTCACCAATGTGAAATGTGCACATCCACTTTCCCCTAGTATTCTTGGTGTTAGATAAAAAATGAATCTTCAACATGCGTATGTCTATTAATTTATTCAAAATAGTAGGCATTATTTTGTCTGTTTTCATTAATTTATTAAAAAATGCTTAACTAATACTTATTAAAAAAACCCAAACAAAACATATTCTACACGATAGCACCAGTAAGGTTGCATAAGAGTGTTTATATTCAAGGTAATTTTGAAAATGTGTTCGTTGGTGAGGGGAATAATAGTGACTATTCGCAAATTTCAGTGGACAATTTCCAAACAGAATGATATGGTTACAGATTATAAAATTGGGGCATAAAATCAGGAGGTGGGCATGACCTGTGTTCCACTCATAAGGAAGTGATGAACAGGGAGTACTTACAGTTCTCATTTCAGAAGTGAGTTGTTTAAACTCTTAGACCAGCTAATAGAAATAAAGTACACATTTCTAGAAACCATGAGATATTCATGGAAAGACTGAACACAACACATTCTTAAAAGCCACTGCTATAGTAAGAGCCTCTCTGGAAAATTTCATATGCATAGTGAGATTCTGAATTAGAGTCTAAAGTTGTGAACAGACATGTATTCAAACTTTTAAGGAAACAATTAAGTTTGAATGTGGGTATTCGAAGCAGTTATTCCCATAAAAACATCTTGGGATAATCCTGTGAGAAACCCATCATTACATATTTCCCTGAAAATGTGTCCCAGAATGAACTGATAAGGGATGCTGCTGCTTCTCTGCTGACTTATAAATTCTTTCCTTACTTATGTGGCAAGTTACATCTTTCCCAGGAGACTGAAAAATCCAATTTCCTTGTAAATAAGTATAGTTCCTAGGTACCTCAACTAGCTTAGAAATACAAAATATCAATAATGTCCGTTAAAATATCTTTATCTACTTGCATTGGTGTTGCCAATGTTTACTTTAATGATAAAATCATTATGTTTGAAGATTATTTTTTACTATAACTTAATCATTATCACATTGTAGACTGAAATACAGAGTCTTTGTGTTCCTTACAGTATGTACGTGCTTTCTTGAAAGTAAGGAAATTATTTATATTGGCACTAACTAGTACTCATCATAACACAACAAACTATTTTTTTTGGGGGGGTTAGACTGTTAAGTATGTTCCAAGCTTAAAATGGTACAGTTTTAATATGTAAAAATTTTAAGCTCAGATCAAGTGTAATTTTCCTTCCCCTTGCTCTAGCTGATATTAGATGCCACCTGAAGGAAAATCCCAATAGGGAGAGAAAAAAGAATTTGAGCAGAGTGTTAGACAAAGAAAATAATTACAAAGAAGCTGCTCTGAAAAGCAGACTTTTCCTTCTGCATGCAGAGATAATGTTATTATTGCCAGCACTTTATAGTTTTAGTAAATTCCACATTACCTGTAGCACCAAGACCACAGAAGATAAAAGTCAGGCTTACTAATAGCCATATGAAGTTTGAAATATACAGTCTTTAAAATAGATTGAATAGTTTAAGTTTCCAAGTTTTGCATGTTGTCTGGTAGAAGGTGGGGGTTCTTTCTCCATTAATATTCAGGCATCCTCTGCTATCAGTGAGAAAGCGTTCACCAGAACAAAATTTTCATACTACCTTACATGCTTTTATCATAAGGGCTGTTTACCCTGCCTACACCAGTACCTACTAGTACAGCTGCTGCGAGGCAGATTACATGACACCAGTCACTGGAGAGAAAACTATGTAATGTTTTTATCATGGCTAAAAAAAGAGCTTTTGGAAAAACATTAACTTCAGTAGGACTCCCATCTGCATTCGAGGCAGCGCATATATTAGCATAGCTCTATCACGTGGGTGAACTTGTGAAGGAGCGAATGATTTGCGATAGGAAGCATCCCTCAGAGTTCCTGTCCTTGGAAAGTTCTGTCAAGGGCTGTCAGAAATAGATACAAAACACAATGTCTGTTTGGACGACAGGACAAAAAATTTGGAAGACCCTATCCAAACACAACAAAGGGGTTTGGTTTATTGTTTCAGCTGGGAGATGAGCCTGTATTTATCAAACATCGTTTTTCAGAATGGAACAAGTTCCTACACCATTTCAGAGGTTTAATTTTGACAAATAGAGCCAACGTGCTTAGTGGCATTTGCTGTGCCCAGAGTAGCCTACTTACACATAGTGGTGCTCCATGCTGCTGAATTATGTTTTCTTTTATCTGATAGATTTTTTTAAATATATTTTCAACTTTGCATATCTTTTGCATTCATTCTGTGGGGCATGCTAATACATCATGGCACAACAGAGATCCCAGGCTGCCTTCTCCATGAAAGAAATGAGGACTGTGAATTTGAACAGCTAGTATTTAGCATACTGCCTGGCCTTACAGCAGCCTGTGCCTATTTCTTTCTCACTGAGGCACCTCTTCCTTGAAGTGGGGAAGTCCATCCCTAACTAGACTGTCTCCAGGCCCTGAAGCTGCGTGGAGCTGTTTCTGTTAATGTTGTTTGTCAAGTGGAGAGCTATTGAAGTAAGAGTTGGTGGTGAGGTAAGGGAGCCTATGGGCTGAAAGGCAAAGCTTCTTGGGCACCAGGCTTGTGTGCTTGGCTTAACGTTCTTCCAAAACCCATGCTTTGTGCATCTTGACCAGCTTTGCAAGAAGCACAACTGTGGGTAGAAGTGGCAGAAGTATCTCTGTCCTTGAGGGAGTGTCTATGCCTGGAAATTTGCTTGCAAAACTTTGTAATGAAACCTTAATACAACAGTTCTACTTGTATAGCTCCCATGAGGATGATTTTGCCCTGGAAGCAGAGCACACCACGGGGCTGGGTGTGTGTAACTACAGCACTGTGGCTTTGCCGATACCATTCTGTCAGTGCACTTCTACATACTGACGCACAATCAGAAGCTGAACTTCCATTGATGCTTAGATGCTTGTGACCTGTTGGCATGAATGAAATTCAGTAGCCTAAATTACTACTGTTGGAAATGAAATGGAGGCTTCTAAATCACTAAAACCCTTCTGAAAATGTTGCTTTTAGTATATATTCTTTTCTAAAGAAATAGTATAAAACATTTCTTTACGTATTTCCCCTACTTCTTGTCTAAACAGAACGAGCCCCAAAAGCCCTGAAATTCAGCTAGCTGTTGGCTTAAAGGACAACAGTACTTAAACCAGAGAGTTTGTAAAGAGAATTAAAGAGGAGACAAGTACGAGCTTTGGTTGTATTATTCTTGGCCTTCCCTAAATTTCCTGCTGATGGGAAACACTTAATAAAAATGATTTTTGATCAACTGATTTTAAAAGGACAGTTTGTTCAATGCCAAATTAATCCCATGGAGGAACTGGAAGTCTAGAAGATGGGCCATTTGAGGAATTTTTGTTGTTGTTGTTGTTTGATAAGTTTCAAAACAAACACAGGAGGAAAAAAAACAGCTCAGAACAAAAAGGGTCCATTTCTAATCGGCTTTATATCAGTAAAAATTGCATCATTTACGATAATCTGGATACACATCAACTAAGTTGTGACTCTGGTCCAAAAGCTTCATGAAAATATTATTAGGAAACCCAAACAATAAGGTCTACCTAGGAATACAGTAAACTTCTTTGCTATATTCTGTATTTTGCCAACAGCTACGTGCACAGAATCCACATTAAAGCAATGTCAATGTTGCTAATACCCTATCAGTGTGCTATGTGGAGATACGTGTGCTATTCTGCTGAGTTATACCAGCTTTCTCTGATTTTTCTCTGCCTTTTAAGACTTATATCCTAGTGATGCTGTATTAATTTATTAGATTATGAAGGTGTGCTATAAAATCTTGTATTTTGAATAAGCATTAAATTTCACAGCTGCTCTTCAAATTATCATATTGTCCTGTAATGGAATGAATTTAAGACTGGGCATCAAGTTCCACTTTATTCTAGGTTTAAAGCTGCAGTAGTAGCACTCCAAGTGCAGAGTTACCAGAAATTAATCTTCAAGGATAATCTGTTTATTTACTTTCACTGTATATTCCCATTCCTGCATCTTAGCTTCATTCTTTGGCAGATTACAAACTGGTAGATTTCTGGAGAAATACCTGGCTTTGAAGTCGTTTTTTACACTTCCATTGACCTCTCAAAGTGCAAAAATCTCATTGAAAGGTTTCAGAACTCAGCATATAAAATTTCTTGGTATATACAAAATTTCAACCCCCCAAATACGAATACCTCCCCAGAAAATAAACACATTTTGATAAAAAGCCTTTTTAATAATCGTGTGGCTATGTTGGCTTTGTTAGAAACATACTAAACACGCAAGAGAATTAGGAGCTACAGTCAAAGATAGCAGTAGGAACAACAGTCGTGATACGCAGTTGTTGCTATGGGAAGAACCTTAAGTGCAATGTTTAAAGCATAAACACTGCTTAATTTCCAAATGCCCATCTTTGTAGCAAGAAAAAAACTGAGGAAGTACCAAATCATTGGATAAAGTTAGGACCAAAGATATGACAAAGAATAAACATACATTTTTTATCTTTCCTGATGCGTATGAAAGAATGGCTTTGTAACATTATTATCTATCCCAGCAACTTGTATGGCCAGGATATTGACCCTGCTCCTAATCTAAACATTTATCTTTAAGACAGGTTTTGTTTGTTTGGTTGGTTGGGGTTTTTTTAACTTTAAAAACGTATTTGTAGCCCTTTCCTAATCTAAACATTTATCTTTAAGACAGGTTTTGTTTGGTTGGTTGGTTGGGGTTTTTTTAACTTTAAAAACGTATTGCTGTAGCCCTTAATGAGGCTGTGGAAAGATACTCTGGTGGAATTTGGTTAAAGTTCCATTTGCATTAATGGTTTCTTTCCATTTTTTTTCCTTTAGGGAGAGCAAGGCCCTTTAGGTCCCTATGGTCCTCCAGGACTCCCTGGTGTTGGACAGCCAGGACCCAAGGTAACTCTCAGTAATATGTCTATTAAAGTGCTAACTGTGGGCAGTCATTTTTTGGATGAAAGTTCTCACCTGCTGTTTTATCAAATTCAAGCTCTTATCATCTAAATGTAAAACTGACACAATATTGACAGGTTTTTGTATTTGCATAGGATGGAGATAACAGACCTGCCTTTCCAGCAACTCCAAGTTTTTATTGTGATCCCATTGATATAATAGAAGTCAGAAATAATGCCATTTAAATGGGGGTTAAATATGTGAGAACATTTTCAAGCACTAGTAGATGCTTGCACTAATGAGTAAACCATACTTCAAGGCATAAAAATACATCTCAGTCACTGTGATACACAGTCACGTGACAGATTTTCCTTGTTATTTCTTCACTAGGGAACAGATATTCTTATAGGTCATAAAATTCTCTCTCTCATGCAGCACTTACTTCCTCTATCTTATTTTATTGCAAAAGACTAGAAGGTGGAATCCAGTCTTGCTAATTTGGAAAAGTCATGTCTGCCTATGCTGGCCAGCCAAATCACCTTTTGGAAAACTGCAAAAGCATCTACATAGGAAACATGACTACTTAGTTTATGAGAGTTTTGTCAGAGACCTACAGCTCAGACTCAAACAAGAAATCTAAATTGGGCAGAACTAGATCTCACCCTAGTTCTTCTGGCTGCTAAATCTTTGGTGTTGCTTTATGCCATTTTTCCCCTCTTTTTTGGAGCCAAGTGCCAGTGTCTAAAATACCTGCACTTTTTTTGCTTTTACTGCTCTAATCTGTACATTCTTTGAACTCCTGCATATTTTCTCTGCAGTGGGCAGACCCTGGAACATAGAGAGGGTTTGTAGAGCTCAGAAACTAGTAATTTGCCATGTAAAAGGAACAACACTGGGTCATTCCAGAAGGGAAATTACGTTTATAGTGAAGGAATGTCACTCCCAGTCTCTGTACTACTCTGGGGAGAGATAAAAATCCTCTGTGCTCTTATCCTTGAAGCACATAGTCCTCAGTAAACTGGAGGAATTGTGAAGATTATGACACCTTATAAATAGAAGATACAGAAACTATGCAGTTCCTGGAGTTCCCATGCAATCCCATATTCCACTAAAGCAGGCTTCAATTTGAGTGCCTAGATAGAGGCTATGGTGAGGATCCCTCACACCTGAGCATTCCTGCTTCATGGCTGGGTTGTACTCCAACCAATTTAGCCTGACTTCGCTCCCTCATCCCTGTCATTTCTCAGGTCCTGCACTTTTAAGCAGTTACCCTTATGCAAAGTGATAACACCCCTTTGCTGTTGGCATGAGGGCTGGAATGTGATCTAGTGCTCAAAGTATTAATCGAAAGGTACTTTCAAATGTTTCTAAATGGTTATTTATGCTTTTTTTACATCAGGAAATGTTACACATTTGATTTCAGACCTTTCTGGCGACATCATTAAGTCATCTATATGTAAATGTTATGCTTTTCAAAAGCATCGAGTTGAATTAGGACTGAACTTTCTAATATTCTTTTTCACAAGGGTGCTCAAGGTCAAGAAGGTAAAATTGGATTCCCAGGACCTCCTGGAACTGGTGAGCCAGGATTACCTGTAAGTCAGTGATATATGCATTGGAAGTGGAAATATAATAAAAGAAGTCTTAGTGAGTGCAATTGATTGACAGCAGCTATATTGGCTACTGATTCCATAAACCACCTTGTACCTAGTCTTGAGCAGCAGAAGTGTGTTCGGCTATGCCAGCCTAGTATTGCGGCAGTAATTGCATGTGGCTTGCCCAAATAGGAGAATAAAGCCATGTCCAAACAAGTTTTGGGGAAATAAATATTTGCTTGGTCCACGTGAACAGGATTGCAATATCCAGTTTTCAGAAAGACATGGAGTTGTATATAAATAGCTGTACCCCTACTTGTTGGAGTTGAGGATAATCTTTAAAAATTGTCTAAAAACAAATTCTAAGAAGTTGAAAATCCAAGAGCTGAGACATTCCTCAACTCCTGTGTGTAATTTAAATTGCATCAAAAACAAAGACCCAAATTATATGCTTTTAGTTATACCTTTGTCTTCTGAATTACAGAACTTCAGCAAGCTTTTTGTAATGTTGAGTTAGAGCTCACTGGCTGCTTTTTCTTCCTGAAATGTATAAAATGTATGGTTTTCTTGTGTATTTCATTAAAAATCTCAAAGAGATTGTTAATTAAGAAGCCACAAATGTGACCTACACACTTGCACAGTGTTAGATTTATTCTAACAGTATTTTTGAAAGTCATTTTGTGGTTGTAAAAGACTATTTTTCTCACAAAAAATGTAGAAACTTTTTGCTTAATCAGGATCATCCTTAAAAACTCGTTATTAGCTTTAAATAATGAGACACCTGAATTTTGTGGAAGAACAGAAAGTATTACAAAAATAATTATTTCTGTACTTGTTTGACCCAAAAATGGCATTCTCTAATTTTGTATGTTTAACCTGCCATTTTGTATGAAAAAACCTATGTTCAAATTAATGATTTCCGTCTTGAAAATCATGAAATTATATGAAATTTTAGGGAATAAATTTCACAGTGGTAAATGTATTTATTATAAAGAAATCTACAGGTTCATTTGAGTTTTAAGGGTACAATCTTTAGACACCAATTATGTAATTCACGCCATTTCGGCATTAGCTCATTCTAATCTAAATCCTCCAATTAAGGGTTGCCACACTTCATTTTAATTGCCTGGACTCAGCCAGCTGTTAGGGAAGCATTTTTACTTACCAGTGTCATAAGAGTTGCAAGAACCTATACTAGCAAGTTAGACAAAATGTCAATAGAAAATGGAATTGCTAATATAGTCTGAATATATTTTTCTTTTCTTCCAGGGACCACGTGGCCCTGATGGTCTGCCAGGTGAGAAAGGTCTACCAGGAGAGGGCATTCAAGGCCAAAAGGTAGTTTTATGGAAATTATTTTTTTTAACATTGTGGGCCAAATTTATGTCTAAGTTATTTAAGATCACTGATCATTCCACTGGTATAAAATATCAGCTGATGGATCTTGGTCTTCTGAATCACTGTGCTCTCTGAATATCCCTCCAAGTTCAGAAACTCTATCAAGATAATTACACAAAAGTTGTACAGTCCCTCTAACAATAGTCAGTTAATGATTCTTTTATTTATGTGTTTAATAAGATACCTTATTTTGGTAGCATTAATGAGATAAATTGTCTTCTGAAAGACTACTTAGCTATTTATGTTCTGTATTGGAAGAAAACATTCATGGACTGTTTCCATTCTGTCTTACCATTTTGGGAAACTAAAAGATGGGTTGTATAGGTCTCTGTGGACAGTAACCTCATTAAGGGCACTTGCTAGGTTAATATATGTGAATATTCATTTTTTTAAAGATGAGCACAAACAAGCAAAGATTTATGATTAAATCACAACTGGGCTTCCCATCAAAATGTATCCCTCTTTTTTAGTGGCTTCAAGATTCTCTAGAGCCTTGAACTACTAAGCAAAGAAGATTTTTCTTCCTTTTATGGAAAAGATGTTAGTCGTGTCCTTGCACCAGGTTCTGAACTGCTCTCTCTGACTAATGGACATACTATCGCATTTTCAAAATGTAGCTTCCTTCTTCGTAGTATTTAATTTTCTCCTTTTGGAGTCCTGTGTTCAACAACACAACGAATGCAGATGAAGCATGTTATGAATTGTAACTTAATCGCTTTTCTCTAAAACTGATAATTCCATTGGCTATTTTTCTTGTTTGTTTGTGAAGGAATACTTTTTTCCTCATTATCCACATTGTGATGACCAGTTTGTCTAGGATGGTGTTCTTTATAAATTCCCAAATACAGTTACAAAACTGTCACATATTTCTAGGGTGAAAAAGGCTCTAAAGGTGTAGCTGGTTCTCCTGGACTGCCAGGTCAACAAATCAAAGGAGACAAGGTGAGGCACGGAGTACTTTACTAATCGTATCCATAGTTAATTATATTTATAGTTAAATTAATGATGAATTATTCACACAATATCATAACAATACAAAGGTATGTTTTACCTGGAATCTGAGGAACTATGCTACACTGTTCCATGCAGCTCCATAGGCTGCACTCATCTGTACAAGTAGCTGAGCCTGTTGATGTTAACTGAGAGCACTAAGGACTGTATTCTATGCAGCTGGGAGTATGAGGGAAGAAATGGACTTTTTTCCTCCTAATTTTTTTTCAGAAATATTGTATTTAAAATATTTTAAATTTTATTTAAATATTTAAAAAATGTAAAAAAACCTTTAAATCATCTAATCTAATGGACTTGGAACAGGCCAAGGAACACTCTGTCTTTTGAAATTTGTTAGCTTTTTGGTGCCCAGTCCCCCAAAGAGGGATCCAGAACAATTTTAATTCCCTTGGCCTGATGAGATTCCAGCCTGTATCTTGTGCATCTACAGAGAGTGGCTGATGCAACATGCCCAGATGTCCTATAGAGCAGAGGCAGTGATTCCAGGTCTTCCTTCTCATGATTTAGTGCCATAGCCCTCCTCCTACTCCCTGTTGTTTTCCTTCCTTCCTGTCCCCACAACTCCTGCTCTCCTCGTCGCCCCACACAGCTTCAGTGAGAGGAGACAGCACTCCCATCCAAGGTCGTTGACAGCTTAGTCAGCAGTGAGTGCTTCACGGATGCGGGAAGTTTAACTTGAACTTACTCATCTCACTGTCCAGTCAAATGGCTCTCCAAAATCTTCAGAGCAACCTAGGTGGTGTGGGGTGGTGTGGTCTGATTTGGCCTGTCTGTGAGAGAGATGCTTGGTGAGCACCTGCCAGACTATCTTGCTCGAGGCCTTAGTTAGAGGAAGATTGGTTATCTGCGCAGGAATGAGTCATCTTATTCCCATGTCTGTATAGAAAAAATGCAGCGATGGCCAGGACAGTAAGCATTTGGGACCATTTCAGTAAATAAGTGTTTCTGGCATAAGTGAAACTAATTATTTTTTGTTTTCTAGGGACTGGTGTCACACATCCTTGACACCTTCATGGGTCTGTGCCACTTCCAATACCCACATGACCTCCTCATATTCCTCTATCCCCATAATTCCCTCTGCCATAATTCCTCTATTTCCCCCCCAAGTGCTGTACAATACCGTTGCAATACCATGTGACAAAGATTTTTCAAAAATACTCTCTAGCTGCTCTGTTTACACTTGAAAGTTTTTCTTCTGAGTGTTGTGCAAGAAACTGTGTGTATTTCTGTACAAGAAAATCTTTAAAATTAATCTCAGTATGTAAAGATAAGCTATGGATCCTTCTAATAATAAAGTTACAGCTGTGATCGTCTAATGTTATAAATGAGAGAGTTTGTAGGTAGGAAGGGGTATTATTTTTATTAAATCAATTACCATAGGCAGACTCAGGTATTCCAAACACATTTAACTGAAAGAGAAGCAGCAAACTTCAAGATAATACAGCTTGGGTACTGTTGCTCTGTGTTTAGTTTAAATACGTTAATCACCTAGCATGGACTATTGCAATTTAGCTCTTGGGAATACTTTTTGCATAGGGTGAACAAGGCCAAGTAGGACCACAGGGCCCAGCAGGACCACCAGGAATAGGCAATCCAGGAAGCCAGGTAGGTTTACATTTTGGGCATACAATAAGCATTCACATGTAGTTTTTGTTTTATACTTTATCAGAGCTCTAATTTTGATGTGAAGACATTAAGAATCTCACAGTGATTTTTCATTTTAAAAAGTGTCAAACTAGTCTTTAGGTAAAGCTTGTAAATATAAGTGATTCCAACTGATTTGAATGGTCTTAGAATCAAGCAAACAGCGATTTGGTCTAATCTGCATAATAATTTGCATAGGAGATAAATCAGATGCATTGCTTGGATGATGACATATTATAGATAAGAATTTCACAAGGTAAGAATCCACCACTTCTGAATTTCAAGCCATTTGAAGCTTGAACATAACCTTTAACAGTTGGATACAGAAAAACTGAAACATCCAAAAAGTTCTTTTGGCTTTTGTTTTTTTGGAAAGAAGGCAAGAGTTCATGCCTCCACCATACTATCCCAATGAATCAGGGCTGAGATGCAGATACTGAGACACTTCCCGTTTGTTTTCTCCCTGAACAGTAATTGTCATTACACTTGGATATGTCAGTGAAATCCACAGGATAGAGACAAAGGAAAAATAAAATAAAGATCTCGGAACTAAGCCTGAGGACAGGCAAGCAAATTGTTTTTTTTAAAGATAAGATAAAATCATGATTAACTGAAAGATGGACACGTGGTGAATTTCAGATGTGGAAGAGTGTAATGCACTAACTCATTTATTTTGCTTTGTAGGGTATACAGGGTCCACAAGGAAACCCTGGGGCAAAAGGATCTAAAGGTTTTGGTCTGCCAGGTCCAAAGGTAATGATTCAGATGTTTTAAAAATATTTTTAATTTTTAAAAATAGCACTAGCAAGAAACAACAAGCAACATATCTTTGCCAGGCTTTTCAAGAGTGTGTTTGATGAGATGAAAATGTAACTCTTCATTGGAGATAACAATTCGCTTTCGAATCTCTGAGGGAAAACTACCCACGTTATCAAGGTGTTCCACAAATGGAGCATATGGCTTCTGCTTAGCGTCAGCCCTTAACCTTTGTGAATGTGGATTTTAGGTTCTAAATGAACACAAATTTATAAACAAAGTATCTTTCAAACGTGTTTATATCAAATGAGTTTGGTTCCACATACACATTGTGTTCAAGTAAAGCATTATACCAAACAACTTAGCTGTAAATGAGCGATGGTTTTGAGACTTAAGGCTAGTCCCACCACGCCTTCAGCCTGTCCTTCAGCCTTCCATGGTCATCATGAGAAAGAGCCAAAGCAAAGGATAGAAACACTACGAGAGAAAAAAAAGCTTAAATGTACTTAGTAGCTGACACTGCACCACAGAAGGAGGGAAAGTAGGAAGAAGGGGTAAACAATTACTGTTGTCAAAGCTCAAGCCTCTAGCGATACAGTGTCAGGTGAGCACTGTAAGAGGAGAAAAAGGGAATTGCTGAAATACTAAGGAGAGCAAGTGGAATGAACTGTAAAGCAGAAGTGTGCTTTGTAATCACCTTGATTTACAAAAGGAAGACATCAGTCACTGTAGCAAAAGCAGGGAGAAATACAATCATTTTCTTCTGGGCATTACTTCGGCTTGGAAGTAGCAGTTACAGCAGCAATGTTTAATATTAATATAGGGAAAAATAAGTAGCTGTGAAACATGTTATGTATGAGGACAATTTTTCTAGTGTGAAAAACTATTTTAAAAGCAAAATTGAAAAATGGAATTCCTTTAACTGTTTTAGAACTACTGGAAGGAAGAATTGTGAGAGTAAAACTTTCTCTTAAACAGAAGTTCTGATTTTTATTTATTTGGATTCACTTTTCATTCAGTGACCAAAGAGTTTTTGAAAAAACTAAAAAGTAAAAAATAAAATATATTAAAACAAAAAGGAGAAAGTTGGAATGATTCAATTAGACTTTCTGCCCACTGCGAGGTTAAATAAAATAGATGCAGTCCTACAAGTTACTGGGGATTTTAAAGAACAGAATTTTCCGGTTGAAAACTGCTTGGCTGAAAACTTGACCACTTAGAATCATAGAATATCTCAAGTTGGAAGGGACATAAGGATCGCCCACTGCGAGGTTAAATAAAATAGATGCAGTCCTACAAGTTACTGGGGATTTTAAAGAACAGAATTTTCCGGTTGAAAACTGCTTGGCTGAAAACTTGACCACTTAGAATCATAGAATATCTCAAGTTGGAAGGGACCCATAAGGATCAAGTCCACTTCTATGTGTAAAGCAGTTAGTGAAATAGTGCAAGTAATGAATGAAGCTAAATTGTGTTCCTCTGTTAAACAAAACACTTTTTGTTACTAGGGTCAACCAGGTGAACCTGGACAAAAAGGAGAACCAGGGCTTCCAGGAACTGGCGTACGAGGACTTAAAGTGAGCCTGTTTTTATTTTTAACTGCTCCTTACAGGGTCTTCTAATTCTTTCACTAGTTGCTGATAAACTAAGTAGAAGATTTTTTGGTATAAATTGACTATGATCAAAATAAGAAGGAATTTCAGTGACAGTTATTCACTTAACTTCACAGTTTTAGCTTTTAAGCTCAAAATGGTGCGCTAGAGCTCCCAGCCTCTCCTAAAATCATTACTGCAGCCAGAACTGGAACGGACTTTTCCTCCATCTTTTCTAAGCTAGTGAGGTATTTCCAAGGCCTGTTAGAAACGTTACCACCTCTGTTCCTCTGCAATGATTTGAAAAAAAAAAAACCAGTCAGTGTGACAGCAGTGGTCATACTGCCTACATGTTAGAAGAGTTGTTAAACACTTAAAGCTGTGACTTCAGCTGCCATTTTGAAGACTGTATACCATGTTGTTAATGATTTAAGCAGGGCTTCCAAAATCTTGGGTAAGATGACATAAACATCTTGGTTTTGGTGATTTTTCCCAGGATCATGGAAGAAGCGCTTGGCAAGACTATGGATAGTTTCAACTCTTTGTGGCAAGTCTTAAAAGTAATGTCTAGACCAGTTTGTACAGTCAGTGAGGTGTTAGTCTGTAGTCAACAACTCCATTTAGGCATTTTTGGCTGACCATTCCTTAAGTCCCAGATGTTTGACTTTGCAAGTAAATTACATTCGTATCATATTGTTCTTGTGCACAGAATAACAAAGTGTTCAATCATGTTTTTACTCACTGAATAAATGTAAATTAATTTAATACAAAAGCAAGATTTAAGAAGTAGGTGGGGAGCTTGGAAAGAAATCTAAAATACTTTTAGATTGTATCAGAAAAAAATACTGGCTCTATAGAATATTTAACTTACTGGGAATAACAACCTTTATTTAGCAAAAATATTGTATATCATTAATTAATATTTTAACACACTCTTAGATCCATTTTACAGAATAAAGAATTTATTGAAGTATGCAGATATAATCATTTATTCTTCTTTAAGGGAGATACAGGTCTATCAGGACTCCCAGGAGAGAGAGGCATGCAGGGAGATCCTGGGAAGTCAGGGAAAAAGGTAAGGAAATATATTTTACCGCATGTAAAAGGTGTAGACCAAAGAAGAACAAACCATTATTTGCAGGTATGCAATGGCAAGGAATTCATCCTGGAGGAGGGTATGTGCCGATACTTTTGCCAGGGAAAAGGGACTAGACTAGTTGAGATGTTTCCAACAAACTTGAGTAACAGTGGCTACCATCTGAATCTGCAACTGATTTAGTTGCTCTGCCTTTTGTGGGCTATTGACTACTGTTAAATTTCACAATCTTCTTGGAGAACAGATAGCTTGTGTCTTTAGCCTGTTCCTTACAGCCAGTTCAGATTTTTCCTGACACCAAGAAGTCACGCTCAAACTGATGTGACTTAGGGCATCTAGCAGGGTGGTGAGCTCTGGCTGAAACCTGTCAGCCTGGTACAGAAACCGTCACAAACAGCTGAAACCAGGGCTGCTTGTTTCCAAGGGAAATTCTGAGATTTTAAGAGAAACTCTGCCACATTGGGAAAAAGAAGCATAAATTCAAAATGGTGGAAAGGAATTTAGAGGGGTGCAAAGCAGAGTGCCCCAAATAGTCAATTTAGAGTAAGTTAAACGCAGGCTTTTAATTCTACTCTTTCCAAATAGAATGAGCTGCCAAGTGAGCAAAACTCAGTGCTTTGGCTGATTGTTGAATTGCTGCTGAGAATCCAGGTGCCTCCAAACTCTGCTGCTGTGCAGCTCTTAAATGAGGGCAGCAGCTGGCCAACCTGTAGAATTGATGAAATGAACATGATTCAGAGTATGCAAATCAGCATTTTTTGACTGCAGGTCTTTAATCAGAAAATATCTGAATAGCTGTAATAAACATCTATTAAGAATGGAGCTTCACATTTTTTTCCTCTACAAGGGCAGCGCAAATACCAGTTTGACAAGCTACAGCCTGAGGCAGTAAGCCTTTCACTGTGGAAAAATATGTAGCATTTCTGTTGCTACTTAATTATTTTTTAAAAATTTGAAATCACCCACTATATAAGTGCTCAAAAATGAAGATCCCCATGTATCAGAAGTGAAACATCAAAATTAAAAGTAAATGTTGGGTTAAAGTTACAGGTGGCTTTTGTATTTGGGAATGCTGGGGTTTTTTTCTCTTGCATATTGCCTTTGTCCTGATGATCAACTTGGTGCTGTCACCTTTACTGTCGTAATTCATTATCAGTGAAAATATTAGTACTGAGCAGCTACCTTGGGTATTCAGGACAGTGCAAAGAACAGCTTGATGCCTGCAGTGAGTAGCATGGTGATGATACCGCAGTTATTTGCAGGTGTGAAGCTGTCTCACAGAAGTGGGATCCAGACTGATGCCTATCAACACCAGGCTCTGTAATGCCACTTCCATCAATAGCTCAAATCAGAAATGGGTTTTTAAACTTCATTTTAATCTACTTTTCACGTTCTGAATTACGTACAGGCATTCTGACATACTAATCTGACTTCTGTTATGCATGAATATTTTGTAGATAATGTTCCTTAATAGAATGTTTTATGTGGATTATTTGTGAATTATTTGAAGTAATCTTTCTGGCAAATATTTGCAGCCTGGATTGGCCTTTGGCTATAGAGTTGCCTAAAATTACTGCTTCTTAAAAGTTGTTTTTCTTAGAATTGGTCAACCAAGACCTTTTCTGATAACTTTGCAAGCATTTCTCTTCCTTATATGAGTATATGCATGCAATTCTTCCTACAAAAGATTGGTGCAATTGCAAACGGCACTATTACAAATGTCTGTGAAAATAAGGAATATGAATGCAGGAGGGTGGAAGGGGTTTAAGAAGACTTTATTTTTTGCAGGAGAAAAAATTAATCAGATATTTACTGACATTTTTGGGAAAAGTGTTTATGCAAGCATTGTTTCGCATAAGTCTGTTGATTCAATAAAATTAGCTACATGAAAATTAATTAACCATTTAATCTCTGTTAGGGGGAAAAGGGCGATCAAGGTCCAAGAGGCCCGGAAGGACCCCCTGGCAAAGGAGATGTAGGCCAAAAGGTATGGCTGAACATGCACACTGGAGAAATACTACAAACTTTAGAAGGACCTATTTTATAAGAGTTCAGATTCTGGCCTATTTTTTCATTCATTATATCTTAAGTAGCAACTATATTTTTACTGATGATTTAAAAGGATTTAAGAGAGAGCGATGTGTTCCTTAGCCTGAACAAGTACAGCAAAATCAGACTATAAACATAGACCCTAAAGTTCATTGGGCAGTAGAGATTTCCTAAAAATTCAGTACAGAGTTTTCATAAAGTTAGGAGGAGGCAAATTATCTCAGTATGCTGATAGGGAGAGAGAAGGAGCTAAGAGAAATTAGGTGACTAGTTAGATATCTAAATATGAAATTAAAAGCCTGGAAAGATGTATTAGTAGACAGACAGCTTTTATCTCACACCTGGTTAAATTTAGGACATTTGGAGCAGATTCTAGAACTGAGTGGGATTTCAGTTGGAGTGGAGCATCTAAATACCTTTCTAATTATGGGCATCATTATCATCGTGTTTTGGGGTTTTTGTGTGTCTCCCAGTTGTGAATGAGTCTTTGCTGTGATTGAAAAAAAAGGTTTGTTTTCGTCAGGGTGACCCCGGAGAAAAAGGATCCCAAGGACTGATTGGTTATAAAGGAGTACAAGGCCCAGCTGGACCAAAAGTAAGCTTGTTCCGCCAGGGTAACCCTTCACTTTGTATTTTATAAAAGAGTCTATGGAATTTATGTAATGTACAAATTTCTCAAGCATTTGATGCTTGGAGACTTAACAGAACAAAGGAAAAGCAGAAATATTCCATCCTCTGTCCTGAATGACACAAAAGTCCCAAGGAGAAAAAGAAGAAGTAAACATATAATTACAGACCTTATAGTTATGCATGAGCACTGAGAAGCTAAATTAAAGTTGTCCAAGTGATTCTAACATGAGCATTTTGCAGATTTTTACTTTGAAACATTAACTTTCTATTATAATATTTTGTGAGTAAGTACCCCTCTGAATGATAAGGAAATTTAAATAATACAAGTGTTCTGGTTATTCCATTGGCTTTATAAGCCAGACACAAAAAATTAATAAAGTTAAAAAATCAAAACCACAGTTCAACCAATAGTTATTTAAAACATGAAACTTAGACCAGCTTTCACAAGAACAGTAAGTTGATTTATGGTTTTTCCCAAATATTGTCTATTTTGTAGATAGTTCTATATTGTAGATATTTTTATAATATAAAGTGTTGGAAAAACTTTTTGCTACTTGTGCAGAAAATGAAACTGTCTGTTTAAATCTAGATGATACCATTTTGTAACAGGGTGAACCGGGAGAGAGAGGACCACCTGGTGTCGCTGGATCATCTATTCAGGGACCTGCTGGACCAAAGGTGATTATCTGCTATGTGTTTGCTGGAGACCAGAAATAGGAAAATTTCTAGTGCACGTTTTTGTCAAAATTAAAAGAATATAGGTTAAAGAAGTTAAAATTCCTTGTTATAGTAACAAAGATGACTGAATTTTAGAAATAAGGACTGAAAAGTACTAAAAAGTAACAGAGAGTGTTTGGGGCCCCTTTAACAGGATGCTGAACTTAGTAGTGTAACTGCCTCCTGAAGCCATTTGTTAAAGAAAAAAAATCCTTATTACATTTCTGTTGTGTTTTGGCCCCTCCTGTGAAATTAATCACTTTGAAGTCTGGTTTTTTTTTCAAATTTACTATGCATTTTGTTTCTTAGACTAAAGATTTCCTCAATGTGGCAGTAAATCCCTGCAGGAATGTGTCTATGTATAGTTCTAGGGATTTATATGCTGAACTAGATGATTTTTTGGAGATGAATGTTTGTATGTCACTTCCAAGTGAACAGCTGGCCTGTAGATACTACTTTAAATGAAATGTCATATACGAGATAGCTAGAGCTACATCCACCTCATTTTCTTTATGGGGAAAATGTACCTGAAATGGGTGGGACTTGTCCTGCTGAGTAAAATAAGCGGATTCAGCAACAGTAAAGATAACTTTGAAGGTTTTAAAAACACAGTTGCTGTTTTTATAATATGTCAGTTAACTTCAACTTTAATTGATGCTTTTCAGCTTTGGTGATAGTTTTTAGGGTAGATAAATCACTAATGTACATCCTATCCCTCTGAAGTAACTTCATCCCCATTTTTCTTCTTCCTTAAAAATATGTGTGCCCCGACACACAAGCACATGTAGGTATTGTACATACAATGTACTCATCAGCCTGGCAACAGGACATCACAGAGGGCTAGGATGTGGTTTGGACTTGTTTGTGCATGGAGGAGGAAGGAAGAAGGGAACGCAAGAAGCTCAGGGTACACCTCAATTAAAAACGCAACCACAGAGAAGAAAGAAAGGAGAGGATTGTGGGGTGCTCATATATCTTGCATTGGTTTAAAACCATAATAATGTGCCAAACTTTATGTCAAGAAAATATAAGTGGCATGCTATAAGGCAACACTTGTATGAAGACAGGTTTCACTACACCGGTCTCCCTTCTTCACATTTTCCTGGTTACTGTGACTTTTTTGAATAGACCAGTAAGTGAGTCAAGGTTGTTTATTGATAAAATTCATGCTGAAAAATAAGAACTTTGTAGACTTTATTGCCTTTTTCACTCTGATTTTATTCTGTTCAGTACAGCTCATAGCACTTTCGTAGCAGACTGGCCATGATCCAAAATCCACTGGAGTCTGTAGGAGTTTTTCCAAACTTTTTACTAAATTTTAGATCAGGGCTTTTACGTGCAGTGGCAGATGCGAGAAAACAAGTATTTTGGGTAATTATAAAATGCAAGTTGATTTTTAGAAAATATACAAAACTGTCTCTTTAGCTCCATAATAATTTCTTTGTTTAAACAAATATCTGCTACGTTTCTGACAATTGCTCAATAATGTAACAGGCTACACAGGTCCGTTTCCTCTCTCCACTGTGGAAGTACAATGATTACTAGTAATTGTGTTCTTGGAACATCCTGGTATCTGCAGTAGTGAAGCCAGACAGTATAAATTTCTAATGCAGGGAATCTGCATGTTTTTCAAAGCTGGGAGTTATCATGGTCTGAGGTCTTTTTAATACATCTGCAAGTATGTGATGTAGTAGTGGGTAATTGCTAGAGGTCTTAACTCCTGGACAGCCATGGTTGTGTCCACTGGAAATTTATTTATTTTAAGCTACACCCATGTTTGGGGACTAGAGTTTTATTTCCCTTGACAGCCATTATGCTGTTACTAATATGGAGACAGTAACATTAGATAGCTGTTTTTTCTCATATTCCTTTCTCATGGTTACAGCTGCTCAGTGGTTTTGATAGAACATTTGGTCTGCATTCCCTAGTGAATGTTTCCTGAAATAGTGCCTGTCCTTCTCACTAGTGTTAAAAATTGCAAAAGTTTCATTGAAAATTGAAATTTTCTTTTTAAGATCCTTAATGTAAAGTAAAACTTCTGTTGCCATAGATTAAACACTAGAAGGAGCCAAATTTTGCACTGTGAAGGGATAACATGAGGAACTTGAATTCTAAGCCTGACTGCTTTCCAGAAAAGCCACTGACAGAGCTAAGATTACCAAACAGTTGTACTGGGTAATACTTGAGGAAAAACTGAAGTTTCTTCCTGGGTCTTCAGACTGTGGAGCTTGCAGTTTTGAACCGCTGCGCCATTGCATCTGTAGCCTTTCTAAACATACTCTGTGTCAGCACTTGTCTTTGAATTTCTTTGCTGTTCTTCATGTGCTCTGGCAGAAACAAGGTTATGCAGCCTTGCTCGTGTGGGCAAAAGCAGGCAGAAGCCACAGGTGAATCTGGCAGCTGAAACTGAATTATGATATTCAAGCTTCAGTTGAAAACTAAAGCTGTCAAGTTATTCGTCAAGGCAGAACAAACTCTTTTACACAGTTGCAGAGAAGCAAAAGTATAAGAGGTCAGAATCAAGGTAGTAAAAGCTTCCTCAGGAAATACTGATTTCATATTACCTAGCTCAATAATTGTCACTGTCTGAAAGAATTGAATACTTGTTCTTTCCTGTAAAACTTCGGAAATTAAAACTGAAAATAATGAATATGGGTTTGGATTTGTTTCTTTTTGGATAGGGGGATCCAGGACCCAAGGGGCCACCAGGAGATGATGGACTTCCTGGAAATTCAATAATGGGACCAACGGTAGGAGTTTTTAGACAAAAGATGGAAAATAAAGAAACATGAAACATATGCAAAACTCTTGTGAAAATGTAGAAACCACTTGAACAACTTTTTCAGGAAAGTAACTGACCAATTCTTCAACTTTTCCATTTTTCCAGGTTAAGTCTATTTTTAAAAATAAAATTATTATCTTTTCAAAGAGGAAGCACAAAATAGATTAAATAACTAGTCCAGTGTATCTCACCCTGTCAACTTCCCTCAGGAAGTCTTCATTAGGAAGGTAGCGCTTCAAATTCATCTCCACCTTTCATTATCTCATGTGGTCTTTGATACCTCCCTATGGGCAATATGCTTTTTAGTGAATATAAACTGAGAGGTATTAGTTATTTTAACAGTGGTGTTTCAGTATTACCAGCCTTGCACATTCAAAAACATAAGTAAGATCCGAAATAAAGAATTTAAAAAATAGATCTTTTGGAAGTACTTATTTGCATATAAGTTACAGAATAGAATTTACTTGGTTATATCCTTTATATTTTTAACTTCAACACCAAGAATGGAGTACAGTAGTCTGTAGCAGGATTGCTGTGCTCACTGTTTGAGCCTTTAGTGGTTAGCTGGCAAGATCAACACACAATTGAAAGACCAGAGGTTAAACTGAGGGTTCAGTGGTAACACAGAGATTGCAGTCTTTGCAAAAGTGGGAGACTGAAAAATTCTCCCCTGTAGTACATGTGAGTTTCCCCCTTGCCGGTGGGAAATAAGTTAGAGGAAAAGGATAATAGATTAATTTGCAAAGGATTAAACTTGTGGGGTTTTATCACTGTTGAACAGTGAAGTGACCTTTTCAAAGAATGGTTCTCTCTCTCCTGTTTCTTAAGTGGTAATAGTAGTTCAGGATGACTGTTAGATACATAAAATTATGACTGCTTTTTCTCCTTGCATAATGCATTACAGTTGTCAGCATGGAATTTTGTCTGATATTTTATCACCAAATTACTCAAACCCTTAAGTAGGGTTTTTCCTGAGCTCCTTGGAATTGCCTTTCATTTAACTAATCAGAATAATATGGCGTCATTAGAAAACAGTGCCACTCACCTTTCTACGTTATTTAAGAACAAACTGAAAAGCGCAGCCTGTAGAACAGATCGCATGTCCTCTACTGCAAAAACTGGATATATTTCCTTTTACTTTGCAGCTTTCACCTCCTCCCCTCTAAGGCATTTATGATACCATATTGTACTTCTGTCAGTCATGATCTGAATTGAAACTTTCTGTAAGCCTCTGCCACTTGTGATAAGGGCATAGTTCAGGAAGACTTCCTTCAGTGTTTGGGAAAGGTACCATTTTGTGATCTCCTTTCCAGACTGAAATCAGGAACCTTCTTAGTAAACCTCTTTTTTTTTTTTTCACATTTACCATGTCTGCACATAAAATGTTCCACTCAATTCCACTGTTTCACTTCTTGGGAATATAGTTGATAGACCCAAATTCAGAGACCAATGAGTTTATATGTACCTACACAACGTAGTTCAAAATAAAGCAACTTAATGCAATAACTTTTGTGTGATAACATCTTAGGAATACCAATAATGCTTTATTCCTGACTTGACAGACTTCTACCAGTACACCTACCAGAGGATGCTGAATAGCACATTGATCCACAGGCATTCAGTAGCTTGTATTTTTGAATTTTCAAAACCTCTAAACTTACTTACTTTGTCTATAATCTAGAATGCTACTTCACTCTGTTTTTCTTATAAAAAGAAGGGATGAACATGACTTAATTGTCCAGTCATATACTTAATCATTTAGGTTTTGATTATGGCAGTTGTTTTTTTTCTTAACGGTGAACATGGACACCAGATTTATGTTTATATTCTGTTCATCTTTTTTTTGTGGACACCAGATTTATGTTTATATTCTGTTTATCTTTTTTTTGTTTTTTTTTTCTTTGGAAGAGTGTAGAAGCAACTATCTGTATATTACTGCTTCAGAAAATGACTTTAAAACATGCCCTGGAAAGGTTGGCAAAGTAGATGAATTAATTCAGCATGCCATCTGTGACATCAGTGGCACTTGCCTTGTTGCCAGTGCACTGACCTAAGTCACTGTGAGTCACTGTGATTGTCTTTTGCAGACCCCACAAAACTGTGGGAAGCGGTAATCACAGAATTGCTCCTGGGCCATCTCTTATGTATTTTCAATGCAGCGATTAAAAAATTTAAAACTAAATAATCTGGACTAGAGAACTGTTTCTTATAGCAGATTTGGCCGTAGATTTGACTTAAGTAGATTTATAGCTGTGTTACTAAGGGCAAAACCAGCCACTTGACAAAATCCCGATTCTTACAGAAGAGAATGTGTTAACTGTATTTGGTATTTACAATGGTCTGCTAAGATTAAATGAAAACATCTGTTTGGCCATTTTTTACTGTAGTGGAATTAGAAGTAAAAACAGAGATGAACTCATGATCCATGGTTTCCTTTCTTGTTAAAAAAAAAGTTATTAAACATTTCTCAAACATTTCTCATTTTATCCGCAATTTAAGAACTATGGATATTAAGAATGGGGAAAAGGTAAAATGTGCTTTCCATTATAAAGCTATTTATGAACTAGAAGCACACTTGTTTAAATCTTCACAGAACTGGATCAGAATTCCATAATTTGAAAATTAGGAAACATGAACATCTTCCAGGGCTGATGCAGTTTGAATCTGGTGGTCAGGTTGTTTTTAAAGTCTTCCAGTGAAACTATCCCTTTGGACTGGAGAATAGCAGAGATTCATACAAGAGTGACCTACCATGTACCATTTTCTTTAAGCATAAGGCATGCTTGCATCCCTGTCCCAAATTCCATCTTAAAGTCGTTTCAGGGTTTCATCTTAACCAGAACATTGAGTTTACCTTGTCTTTCTTCGTTCACTTCCCTCCTAATCTAAACCTGTGATGTATATCTTTAGGAGAGCCACAGCAGCTCTTTCATTTTTCCTTGACAGGGCTAAATTGGTTAAGAAGATCTGATTGCTTGTGTCTATGGTAGAGACATTCATGGGACAGGAAATTTGGACCCAAAGTCTTTTTTTGTTGGATATCTAACTAGAATATGAATCGGTTTGTTCTCCAGTCATGGACACTGTATTCAGACAGACCAGCTGCTGAGATCTGAGCTGCTATCAGGACGCCATTCGTGGTTTCTTGAAGCATTATGTTATTGCAGAAATTTCCAGGCACAATGCACTGATGAAACAGCAGTTTTCAGTCATTTGTAGTTTCTTTTTTGTGGCTGTTTATTTTTACTGGAATAGACAGGGAAATATTTGCTATTTGTATGTAATTGTTCTTCAGGATATGTTATCTGTATGTATATTAACAACTGACCCTCCAGCACTCTATAGGAGAGTCCATTTCCATTTCTTGGTTCTGTGGGACTGAGTGAAGGGTGTACGCTTCTCCCTGTATGGCCATATACATACCGTGCTTAGGAGTGGGGTGGATGTGTGACCTACAAGTATCAGTAAGGATTTCCAACTGGCGGTGCTGTCATGTGAACGTCTACTGTACAGACTGCCAGCATATCTTGAGGGATACCTCAAAGTAATATGTTTTCTTTCTTGGTTCTGTGAAGAACAGTCTATTGCAAGCTCAGTTAATTTTCTCATTAAATGTCAGGAAAACGATCACTGGAATGAGGGAAGAGGAAAAGATTGCTATTTGCTTCTCTTCTGGTCGTGAAAGGAAGCATTGAAGTTCTGCAAATGCACAAATCTTTAGTGGGAGTCAGTGGAAGAGTCAACAGAAGGAGTGATTGTTTCCTGATACAGAGCATTTTAGGCTAAACTAAGAGAAATTACATTTTTCTTATAACCGGTTGTATTTCTTTCTTTTACTTCTTTCCCTTGTAGAATGCAGTTTTGCTTTACTGTATGAGAGAACCAATGTGATTACCCAGAAGCGCAAAATGTGCAACATATGATAACTTAAGGCTGGCATATTATGGTTCAGTATTGTTAAATTCATTGTTCAAATGTCAGGACTTACCCCCAAAGTCATAAAAGTTTAACTTTTTAAAAATAAATTTAACTTTGTATCGGCTGAAGATAAAGTCAATGTTCTGAAGATTTCTCTCTGCAACTACAAATCTAGAAATTAATAATTTCCTAATGAGAACTCCTATTCTTCTGAAATCTTAATTTGATCGACTGAAGCAACAATAAAAAAGCACAAAAATTTCTGAGCTTTGCGAACAAATTGCAAGAGCTGGTAACTGCTATTCTATATTTCCAAAAGGATATTAAATAGTTTCCTTACATATTTGTTAATATGATCCAGATACTGGCACGATGCCTGACTCACTATTTTGTATTTAGGGTAACCGGGGACTACCTGGTCTACCTGGACCCCGTGGAGCAAAAGGCGATGGCCACAAAGGTGAAGCTGTAAGTACAATTTTAATTCTGTACTTTGTGTTCTACAAAAAAATGAATTACTGTGTGATAACTCAGTATTTAGTTACTTAACTAAGTGCAATTAATCTTCTCTTTCATCCTTTAGCTAATTTAAATATTTCATATATATTGTGAAGTCCTTTCCTGTCCTAGATACAGTGCCAGTTCTACAGGCAGTCGGAACTGGATATAAACTGTTCTCATTTCAACATCATGAAAGGGATACCATGTAATTCCATAAAAATCTTCATGGCTGCTCATACATGTTTAATGTAATCACTGCTTTGAGTTCTTTTCCTTCCCTCCTTCCCTCCCTTTTGTTTACTGTTCTTTGTTCAAGATCTCTAATAACATCTGCTTGTCCAAATCTTGCAGCCTTCAATTCCTTGGTTTTTCAGCTGCTTTTCATACCGGGGGGTTAAATCTTCTTTTTTGAAGATTTTCTCCCTCCTTGCTTTTCTGATGGTTAGCTCCAGAGGGGGTTAATGCCTGAGTATTCCAGCTGGCACATTCCATTATAAGGGCATATCATCCTATATTTCAGTCATCCAAAGCCACACAGACATGTTTGACCAACCTTTCACTAGAAAGTGAAAATACTGTTGCCATCCTTCAACCACCACATGTCAAACTTCCATTAGCACTATTTTCTTTATGTCTGTAATCCAGCTTTATTTCAAACTACAACCACAAAGGCACTCCCAAATACACTGAGGTGGGACCTGAGTGCTTCCAAATAAGTCACAGCTCAGCTCCAATTTCCTAGCATTCAAACTGATCCTGGGAACATCCTTTGGGATCAGGATTAGTTCAGAGGGCATTCACTCAGAATTCCTGGTGTAATGCCATGTACCTGACACATTTCACAGCACGTAGGGACACTAGACCAGCTCAAGACTCCTTGGAGGGTCAAGGAGTGCCAGGAACGGACCCAGACCCGTTAAACAGAGGACAGGCAAACAAATGAAAAAACCCTACTATCATCCGAAATAAAAATGAAAAGCAAATGCAAAGGCAATCATGAAGAAGGCAGTGATGCAAATAGATGACTGACAAACCTTTAGTAGGCCTTAAAATGTCTTATAGGAACTGAAGTTTTAAGCTTTACAAGTTAAGATACATGTTTAAACTATATGAAAAAGAAGTATTGGTAGATACAGAATCAAAGAGGTCAGTGAGAAGCTGAAAACTTTTCATTTCTAATTAATCAAAGAATTCAAGAGAAGCCTGGTTTGGTAACCATTGATTAATAAAACTATACAAATGCTGGTTGTGGTCTACCCAGTCACAGGATGACAAACTTAGGTGTATGCGCTTCCTGCATTTCTATTAGTGACTAGACAATAAAAAAAAAAGAGCTTTGCTCTGCAGTAGTATTCCTGAAATCATGTCTATTCTAGGATTCCCATCTGCAACTGCCATAAGAGTCATGCTTCTCTGTAACTCAATCTCAGGCTTCAGTAAAAGTTGGTTGTGTTTCTCCCTGCCACATGAGTACACGTCCTTGAAATGTGTGGAGGTTCTGTGGTGCTGTAGCGTGCATCTTTCCCCTTCTCGGGCCACCTTTCCATGCCCCATGATCTGGAAAGACCAACTTCATAAACCACTGGCGGGCATGGACAAGATTTATGTAGTAAGTCTCTGTAGTGTGATGGGGCAAAGACGTCTGCCCTAGGAATGCTGAAAGGTAGGCTGGGGATGCCTCCAACAGTATGAAGGGCAGCTGAAGGGGCTGTGGCGGATTGAGCAGGGAGTTCAGGAGAACAGACTATCAAACACAAATACACCAAAGTCTGTTAGGGTTACCCAACCCCCAAATTTAGATGGATTAGCTCTGGTATCCCAGATGTGTAATATCTGCAGTGTATGAATCATGGAGCAATGTCTGCTTTCTCATGGGTTTCTCTGAACTGAGAACAACTCCAATGTTCTTAAGTCAAGATCCGGACTTTTTTTCCACCACTCTGGTAGTCTTTTCAGGTTTCCACCCAGGACTGAGGATGACTGTTGCTCAGTACACATCAGAAATGTGAAGAATTTGACAAAATAGAGCAAACCCAAAGAGATTAGTAACTATTGCTGAAATTCCCTTCTTTGTTGAAGAACACAAGTACTCTTCCTTTAGGACAACTACTGACATGCTTTATTCCTCTGCTGTACCAGGGACCTCCAGGACCAGCAGGCCCCCCAGGACCAGCAGGCCCAAAAGGCGTGGGAGATGCTGGACCAAAGGTACTTGTACAATGGTAGTACATGCATCTGACTAGCAGACAAGGTAGACAAACATCTTCCGAAAAATGCATTAGATTAGAATAGCATATATATGACAAAATGCTGCGATCTCATCTCTCACTTTCAGTTAGACGAAAAGCTTGTGATAGACTTTTCTGCCATGATAGATACAAACCAGTTCTTGGTTTATCCCTAGATTTGATGCAAATCTGCAGGTTTTCCATACATCCAAAGACCCAGGATGTTTCTAGATGCTGGAGTTTCCATGTGGAAGTCAGAATCCAACACAGGTAGAGTATTGCCTAATAATTATGCACTTCCTTTCTCCTGCAGAAGTGCAAGGGACAAGGCCCCAGAGGAGTCAGGGGAAATGTTGGTTACGTGGAACTAGTGAGATGATAGTTTTAAAGTTCCTAGAAATGGATTCCTAAGAGAAGACTATAAACCTTCATCTAAAATTAATGAGTTTAGAGGCAAAACTCGGCAGAAAAACAAAACAAAACAAAACAAAACTGATAAAGGGATTAGAAACACAACACTGAAACACTTCCAAGTTTTCTTCATAAAACACAGAATAGCTAAAGTGTTATAAAGTTCTAAGCAGTATGTAATTCACCTAAAAAGTCGCATTGTAACTACGTTATAAAAAGTTGCATTGTAACTACTATGTTATAAAAAGTTGGAAAAAAGAGACTTAAGACTAAAATCATACAAGAAATTGCTTTAAAATATCCCACAGAGTGGTTTTATTAATGGTGTCCTCATTACCTATGTGAAATAGGAAACGGGCAGCCTGTCGCAGGGGAAAGCAAAATAAATAACGCCCAAACAAGTTTTTTCCCAAACAGAAGGAACTTTCAACTTCAGTTCCCAGAACATGAGAATTCCCATTTAAAATAAACAACAACAATAACCTCTTAAAAACATATCCACAATAAAGGAAACACTGAAGGACATTCATCCTTAGAATGACCTGACCTTAGAATGACCATGGAATGGCCTGACAATGGGATCTGGGAAACCTGGCTTTGTGCTCCTATTCTGAATTACCGCTTATCTATACAAGACATTTCACATAAAGTAATGCAAGGTCTGGCCCATGACACAAACTACCAAAGAAATAAAAGTAATTTCAATTATGTTATTCAATATAGACTTACAGCAAATACATATGGCTAAACTAATTAGATTTTTTTATATGAGATTATATCCTTTCCAAATAGAGATACCAGACTTGATATAATACAGTCTTATAAGACATTTTTCTTGGTACTACAGAAGAACATTTCATTAAAACCCTAGAATCTTGTATGAAATTATTAAGGCAGATATTGATAAAAATGTAACTTATGACTACAGAATGTCTAGGGGCATCGTTATGTCTGGAATTCCCCCTTGCTTCCTAAACGCGTAATTCGGGAAAGTAGTTTTTCCCAAAGAAAAGGAATTGGAAGGTCATGTCAGGTAATCAAATAAGATGATCTCCCACTGTGATGCCATGGTTGAAAGATTACAAACCCCAGAAATATAGATCAGAATTTCAGTGGGAATATAGGGGTTTAATATAAAGAAATCTGAGTTAAATCCAAAATGGAAATAGAAGATTTTATTTTTTTTTTAAGTGAAAGGAAACCACTAGAATAATTGCAGTGAAGTTTCTCGCAACTGGAATTTTTAAAATCAATGTTTGCGGTTGTGTTTCTGAGAAGTATCACAAATATATAAGGTATACAGAAATGCACTTAAGAAAATCATAGTGCCTGGCTTATGTGAGAGATCAAAAAGTGGGTCACAAGTCCTTTTTGTTCTTCTAATCATGAATTCATGTAATTGCTGGGGCAAGCAATTCTTTGGCTGTATAATTTCAAAAGTTATTTTGGAATTATGTAGTAATTAGTAATTAGTAATTTAGTAATTAGTAGTTAGTAATTAGTAATTTAGTAATTCTGAAAGTTCCAACCCAGATCTTATTTTTTTTTTAAGTGAAAGGAAACCACTAGAATAATTGCAGTGAAGTTTCTCGCAACTGGAATTTTTAAAATCAATGTTTGCGGTTGTGTTTCTGAGAAGTATCACAAATATATAAGGTATACAGAAATGCACTTAGGAAAATCATAGTGCCTGGCTTATGTGAGAGATCAAAAAGTGGGTCACAAGTCCTTTTTGTTCTTCTAATCATGAATTCATGTAATTGCTGGGGCAAGCAATTCTTTGGCTGTATAATTCCAAAAGTTATTTTGGAATTATGTAGTAATTAGTAATTAAGTAATTAGTAGTTAGTAATTAGTAATTTAGTAATTCTGAAAGTTCCAACCCAGATCATGAATGATGGAGGTACAATATGGTATCATAAAAAGTGTTAGAGGGGAGGAGGTAAAAGCTGTAAAGTAGAAGAAAATATATCCAGTTTTTGCAGTGGAGAACATGGAATCTAGTCTTTTTATCACAGTTATTCTTAAACCACTGTAAGTCTTGTGATACAATAATGTATATTTAATTAAATCATAGATTAGCTATTATAGTACTTACTGTTTTCACTTTCAGCTCTAAGTGATGTAAATCATTGCCAGTTGAAGCAAGTTGTTCATATTCCTTTATAAAGACTTCAAATCCTTACTTGTCAGTCTCTTCTCCACCCATGAACAGCATAAGAAGTATTACCATCCCTCCAGATCTGGGGGCTGAAGTATGTTCATGGTACTAGTAAAGGAGGTTTATTGGTAGTATCTTTTTGTGGAGGAATATGACCCGTCTTCTGTTAATTGAATGTTACCAATTAATAATAAATTTGGCAGTAGGCCCATTACTTCAACCTGAATTTGAGCAAAAGAGAAATAGCTGTGACCAAGAGGTGAGGCTCTTATAATTTAATAGTATTTGATTACAACAGGAAATAGTATACTGGAATGTCTAGTAATAGAAACTCTTATCCTAACTCACTATTTATAAAGAAGCCTGCAAAAGATTAGGCAAAGGCAAACTGATAAATTGTTATCACTATTCTCATGTGTTTTCTGACAGTTTCAGGTCAGATCAGGGTTGTCATGTAAATTAAAAGTATCTTCTTCATTTCCATCAAGTTGTCTCCATCGTCACAAAAATTGTCAGAATTGGGTAGCTTGATCCTAAGAACCAAATTGTTGAAAAACACGGATGCAAAGGAAGCTGTGTTTTCAGGTTAATAGAACGGGGCCTGCTGTGGTTGTGGGAGCTGGGTGTGACACAGAGACCTCAGCGTGTGCAGTCAGTCTAGTTCAGGCAGCCACAGGTACAAACTCAGAGTCTTCTCGGGTGATCTGCACGGATGTTTCAGGCTGGATCGGAAATGTACTGTTGAAGTGAATCTCCCGGTGGACCCATTTACTGTGCTTTGGGTTCTGGACCAAAAAGAGGTCTGAGCGGTCCCACAACCCAGGAAATGGATTTCATTCAGATGAAGCTAAACTAGATGATCTGCTCTGGAAGTGCTCTTAATGTACTTCTATCCCCAGCGGGCGATCAGTCCACAGGAGCCAACCCGGCAGGTCTCCTCATATTGCATACAGCGTAAACATCAGGCTGCAAATTCACTGCTATTGGGCCTGTAGCACTATCTGTTGATGGACACGTAGAATTAGAAGCTGCCTATCAAGCAGAGGTTTCTACTCATAGTAACCAGTCATGGGGTAGATTCAGAATGCACCATATCCATGGGTTATGGAGAAGTGACATCTTGTTCAAGGAGGAGTTGTATTACAAAGAACTCTGTAGAGTAGCTGTCTTTGCAAGTAACACAACACAATTAGGGCAAATCATGCTCACATCAAATTTTGTATGAAAAGTTCTGCGTGGATCTACAGGTTTGATTGTGTTGCAGTGTGATATTGCCCATCAAATCTGGTTGCTCAGAGTAGTGCTTATCTAACAGTCTCCGTCAGAAAATTGAAAAAAAATCAAGAGTTAAAAACATCTGATAAAAATTTAATTTGTATTTTTTACTTTAAAATAGGTAAGTTTCTTTTTTATGATGCACCTAGATTGATGCGTTAATCCTATGGGGGAAAATGCATATTGCTTCTATAAATGGTGAGCAGCTGTAGCTTTTGCAGTGTGTGGCTGCTGCACCAAAGCATGCATTATCCGAATGGATAGTCACATCTGTGATGTAGTTCTGTGCATCCACACTAGACATGGTGTAGAGTACACTGGAAAAAAAGAAACAAAGTATATAAACATCTCTTCTCCCTCCTGATTTTTTGCTCCTGTTTGCTTACACAGTTTTGAATGCTGCTGAGTTCCTGGCAGCAAAAGGTGCCACAAGGAAAAACAATTCGCTTGAATTGCAAGAATTCCCCCAGAACTTAGTTCATAAAATGGACAATCTTCTGTTTTTTTTCAAATAAAATGTAAGTGCACTGGCTACCTCTCATCCCTTCCACATAAAGAAATGAATATAAGAAGAACAGCAACAATCTCTGCATATAAAAAAGAACATTTATTTGATAAAAGAGACTCATAAATTTACACACTAGTTAATTTGAAATTCCTTTGAGTATCATTATATAGGAATGTTCCACTCAGCTGAATCAGAGCTCTGTTCTCCCCACTTTCAGAAATGGCTCACATATGTGCACACTGCTAGATAGGAATTTTATGTATCAGAGGTCAAATTCACATGAAAACAAAATTGGAACATGTGGGATGCATTCAACCTGGCAGGACCCTATTTTCTGTAGCATTAAAACAGAAGCACATAATGTCAGAATATAATAAAAAATTTATTTAAAAGCACTGTTGCCAACTAGGAGGTGGGTTACAGACATTCAAAAGCAAGAGCCCAGCACTAGAAATAAAGCAAGCTTCATTCTCAGTAACTGGATAGCAGAAGGATTATTAAAACCCCTAGCACAGTCCCTAGTGCATGAACATTTGAGATGGATCCAGTTGCAATATAAATAACTTTTTTTTTTGCAGCTTGGGCCCTGTCTATTTGAACCAAAATGTGGAAAGTAGAGATACAATGTCTTTTTTTTAATATGTTCTTCTTACAAATACTGTTACGTCCACTAGCTCTCACTAAAGAGAGTATTGCAGTGTCTGTTGTAAGTTTCAGTATCAAATATACGTGCTTTACAGTAAATGAGGTGTATATATGAGGAAGCCAAGATTTATTTTTCAGGTGACCATTAGGTCATTTAATGAATTTTCTTGAACAAATGGTATGGAATATGCATTGAAATCCCATACTTTACACTGTTTTGACTCAACTCTTTATTTCTTGTTTCAGTCGTGTTTTTCTAGTTCACTGTTTTGCTGATGGTGACAAGCTTGTCTACAAGCACAATACAGGAAATAAATTAGAACTCATCAAAGAACAGCACTAATCCTTCTTGAAATGAATTCCCTGGAGGACAGTTTAGTGTCACACCTTAGAAAAAAGAACTGCTCCACTTCGCAACCCATAAAGCAAAATAAAAGTCTTTTTCTCTAAGCCAAGAAATATAGAAACTTTGAGGATTGCTATAAAGCTCTACAAAAGAGCTTTTCAGTGAGACATCTGGTATTAACTAAGCATGTGAGGCTAAAATTCGATCCTTCACCTGCAACGACCCTGTGTAAGAATGTGTTACCCATGGGAGGAAGAGGCAGATGACTTCAAGTCACCCTTACGCTCTTTTTGGTCACGGCTGGTCTAAGAGCAGGTTGTAGATATATTGGATACTGGACCATAAGGAATCATTTACTTGTTTGGCAACCTCCCATTCAGCTTTCATCACAGCGGCTTACAGGCTGTTTCACAGGCCACAGCAGCCCAGGATCTCCTAAAAAAAGCTTACAATGCAAAGTCTTATCTCTATACCCACCTCTTAGCTCTGGCACCTCTGGCAGCTTTCAGAGGGAGGCTTGGGCAGGGAAAGCTTTGGCTGCTCTGTCCAACTTCTGCTCATGAAGAGTTCTCCTACAAACAGCTTAAGGCTGTATTATGGTTTGTGGGGACACTGAGGACCAATAATTATTCCTTTGATAATAGATGGTACTAAATAGGAAGATGACTACATTTGCCTAGACTCTCAGTATTTCCTAGCAATATGACAATCTCAAGCTAATTGTAAGAAAATGCATTGCAGGAGGAATTGAGAAACTGGGCATGTTTTAAAAGATCAGGAATATCTACCATTCATCCCACTGCAGAGGGGCATTTCCCAGCACCATGTACCAGACTTAAGTGCTACAATCCTTAAGTACTTAAAATTGTAATCTTTAAGAGTTTACAGCTATAATTTGGGGGAAAAAAAGGCAAAAAGCTCAAGGGCATTGCCAATATCTTGGCTCTTTGCATTAGCAGGGAAGGTGTGATATAAAAGCCTTAGGTCATCTGAAGAAGAAGAACACGGCTAAAGAGAGTAGCTCTCTCTTTAGTTCCCTTTCCCAAACCAGACTAGACGAAAACAACAAACTCCCCTCTCTGATCAAATCTGAGGGAGAAATTTCCTCCCGACTGAACATAGCAATCAGTTTAACCCAATCAGCTTGACCCACCAATTTAAAGCTAAGAGCATCCATGTACCATACCTATGTCCAGACTCCAATTGGCCAGTCTCCAGCGCTTTGGAAGAAAGAGAAATTGAAAATAAATTCAGAAGCCAAATGTTACATCAAGAAGGAAAGCATTATAAGCTCAGTCTAAGCCTTAGCCTTTGGATTCAGAGTTCCCACCTCTCCAAATCCATCAAACCTGAGCATAGTTTCCGTCCTAATATATTTACATAAATAGCACATATGTCAGCACTTAGCATGAGAGTATCATAGCCATATATAAAAAACACAGATTGGAGTGATCTCTCGCTAGAGATTGAACCTTGGGCATTTCACCTAAAAGCAGTTGTTATAATGACTGCCGGAAAGTAAAGGAAGTCAGTAAAAGATTCTGTACTTTTGTTTCCTTCCTTTTTCATCGGTTTGATATGTTGTTTCTTTTCACCTACCACAATTCAAGCGTCATCTGTGATTCGTGTGATTCATCCTTGCGCCTCTCTCCTAGTTAGAATGCTCCCTCTGCAGGCACAGCCATTTCTACTGCTTTTCCGAGTGCAAAAACAAGTACAATGAAGAGTTTTTATAATGGAATTTTTTATTTTGTCAAGAAATACCATTTCTTCTTGGCTCTATTGTTAATATATGGGATGACTAATAGCTTATCAGAACATTTCTTTCTTTTGCACTTGCCTGCACAGGCATAGGTTTAGGGACATTTGGTAAACCTGATTCAGAATTTTCTGCATCTATAACTTAGCAGTTATAGATTTCTTTTTTACTTTTCAAACTGATGGGAGTTTTCTAGTGACCATGTGCTGAACGCGTGCCTATTCCCTCATTTGTACAATTACGGACTGAGGAAAACACAACTGCCTCTTACGTCCCCATGCCTTCCCTCTACCACTAATGTCCCCTGACTCCCATCTCCTTCGCTGGGCTTGTCTGCAGCACGAGGGGCATCACCGGGCTCAGCGTTACCCAGATTGCTCCTGGCCAGCCAGCTGCTGCCTTCTGTCTGCCTCCTGGTTAAGGGATGAGCCCCCTCTGGTTTTTTTTCCCCACTAAAAGCATAAATTGAATCTCTCTCCTTTACCTGGTCTCCAGTTATCACCAAAACTGTTGAATATGCTCAAAGCCTCTACATTTCTGATGAATTTGGCTGAAATCAACTGATGAGTTCAAAATATACCGGGAGAAAAAAGAGGACTGACACAGACAAGCAGAAACACAGGCAGAGTATCACTTAAGCCTCATTTCCTTAAGGAATCAAGCTAAACATATATGCATTAAGGCTTTTTAGGAAAACAAAGGGCTGTTCTTTTTGTTCTTCTATATCAATGCTATTAAAATTCATACTGTTTTCATAAACACATTAGTTTGACAGTTCTGGAAATTAAGTGTCTCTAGTTTCAGAACAAGCACAGTATCAGTAAAGGACATGATCACTGTTGTGTCCCACTAGTAAGCTCCCTGTCCATCCTGGTAAGCCCCTGCAGAATGTGATGGAAAAATGGTCTTGTTTCCAAATGAGTTTGCTTTTCTTCTTCTGTAGCTGATAAGTTTGCAAATTAGAGTCCTAACTCTGTTGGTGACTTTGATCACGTGGACCTTTGCTTGGGGAATAATGTTCTTCACCTCGAGCTTAAATAACGTGGGTGCCTGCATTTTGGGCTTTTTTTTATATCTATCTATAAAGCAACCGTTTATGTATGTAACGTTTGTTTTGTTTTTTAAACTCAGTAGTTTGACTGACTGCTTTGTAAGTGGATGAAAGATGTAACAGTTAATAGGTGATAAATTACTGACATTTCTGTGACTATTTTCAGGGAGACCGTGGAATGAGAGGCTATCCTGGGCCCCCGGGGCCACGGGGAAGCGGAACGGTTGGTCCCAAGGTTGGTATGATGCCGTGTTGAAGCTTTTGTGCTCTTTTGTGATGCTGACAGCCAGACTCTCTTCTCCCGGACACCAAAATATCTTCATCAGTTATTGATTTACATTGGTGCAACTGCAGGAGAAATCAAGCATAAAAACATGGGCACTGACCATACACTTCTACTAACCGGATTAGGAAGGAATACTAACTGGATGAAAGTTGCATTTGCAGCTAAACTTTATGAGATTACAGCTGGAAATTGAACAGAACTATCAGGCTGATAAATTAGTTAAATGATTGCATTTCTTCTGTTTCTATCTATTCTGTTTCCAAGAGATTCTTTTGTGGTGGACAATATGTTAAATGTGAATTTTATGTTTGCAATTTTTGCTCAATGAAATTGAATCCAATTAATTTCATTAGTAAAACCATTTAGGAAAGAAACATGAAAACAAAATGTTAATTCTATAAGCAGCCAGCATGCAACATCTGGGCAATTTTTTCCTCCGTCCACTAAAGTGATTTATAATTCAAAAAAGACATACTGGTAAGAGAAGAAATTCAATGCATGCCTGGTTTTCTTTGTTATAGGTGTATACATCAGTTATTTTTACAAAGGCAATGAGGAGAAACATTGTGTATATTCCTCCACTTAAGTTAAAAATCGATATGCCTTTGTAACTTTTCCTGTGATTTCCTTAGCAAGGATTAATGGAAGTCTCCACTGCCATTTTGAATAAACCAGTATCTGAATGGAGAAACATTGCTATTACCAACCTGTTACAGAAATGCAATGAGCGACGGAGCATGAATATTTTCTCAGGATGTATGTCTGACTTTGCCTTGCTTTCTGAAAGCTGCAGCAATCTCAGTACTTTGGTAAATCGTACAGACACAGTCTGTTTAAAAATGTAAGTTTGGACTGAGTGTCAAAATCCTACAAATGTGTGACACTATGTACTGCTTCCACAAAACCTTTGAGAATGAAAAATGTGTTTTCTGTGGGGAAACAATATTTTGTTTTCAAGGGGGAGGACCTGTTTGTAGCACCTAGTTCTTGAGATAAGCTATTTAGCACAACGTTTTGTGTGAATCCTTGCTTATAAATATATAGATTAACAGTATTTTTCACAAGAGATTCTGTCAAAGTTTGTGGCAAATTTTTTGTCTACACAGATGAGAATGATGACTTTTCAAACTTCACTAATATCTAGAAGTTAAATATTGAGCTATATATTTCTATTTAATAATGATCAAATTTTCATATACTTCTGCCTAAATATTCAACATACGCAAAATGTAGGTAATTTGCATACCACTGAATGAATTCCCTTTACTGTATTGGAGCACAGTGATTATTTATTATAAGACAGTAATCAAAAACTCAACCTGAACTCTACAGAAACTTTTATGAAGCTTGGTCAAATTTCAGAAGCTTTTTTCAACTAAGAATAAAGAGGAAAAAAAGGAAAAACAAACATTTAATTTTGATGTAATCAAAGGGATGTGCTTCACTTTGTCACTTTGAAATGTTAGATTTGCCTGCCTCCAAAGCACAAGGGCTTTACCTGGCTTTGACTGTATCGACACAAATCAGCAGATGCTGCTTTGACTTTTCTCTCTTTCCCTCCCACTTACGATTTTCTGAATGACTAGTGCTCCTGGAGACTGTGGCATCACAGGGGCTTGGCATATATACATGATGCACAAGAACTAGCTAATATGCCTGGCAGGTTTACTCGTGCTGGGTTTTATTGCTCTGGTCCTTTGTGCCTCTACTGTTGTGCCTCCCTTGTGTGGAGTGATTGCATGAAGCTGTTGTGTAAAGATGGTTTCTGTTGGTTTCTACGCGGAAAACACTGGGGAAAATATCACACTGTGTCATGGGCAGATTTTATTCTTTAATTATTTTCAGCTTAATTGTTCCTTTGCTTTCCTGGGAATTTGCCAAGGATAATTACTAAGGCTCACAGTGAGAAACCATAAACCAAAGAAGAATCAGAACTAGAGTCTTTGACATGGTTTTACTTTTTGCTTGCAGTGACTTTGAGATGACTTCCTTAGTGTTACCAGGAATAGAGTTTACCTCCTAATTCTTCTTTTTTTGCCCCACTGACTGTTATAGGGTATTATGGGACAGAAAGGCTTGCCTGGTCCACCTGGCCCCCCTGGCAACAGCATACAAGGAAGCAAGGTAATCCAGTTTAATGTGATATCTGTCCAGTTTCTTCTTAAAACTGTCTCTTAAGGAGATTCATTGTCTATTTTTCTCTTTGCCACTGAGTCAGTGAACTCCTGCAAATACTCATTGTGTATTTAAGTTTCTTGTTCATAAGGTATGTAATATTTGCTTTAACTGTTGAGTTTTCAGTATTGGTGGCACCCGATTGTTCTCCTATTATTCTTGTCATTATAAATATATTTAACCCGGGAAAAAAGTCTCATCTCTGCCACATCTTACTGATTTATTTAGATTTAAAGGACAGTCCAAAGAAAGTGTCCAGGGTTTTCTCTGGATGCCCTTGTAAAAGACAGTGACAGAGATCTACCATGACAAAATAAGTTAAACAACACATATAGGAATACAAAAGAAATTAGCCGGTCTCCCACATACTCATCAGGTTTTTACTCACCCAGTTCCAGCCATAACCACAACTTCTCTCCTTGTAAGGAGAAACACAAACATGGTAACATATTCTGAACATTCAAAGTTAATAAATTGCCTTGTCATAAATGTGTGGAAGAAAATTATTAAAACTGGAGGCTCTAGTGGAGAACAACCCAAGTTTCTCCTATTTCTCTGAAATCAGTGTGCTTAAAGTTGAGCATATGATTGAATATTTCCCTGGATCAGGAGGATTGTGCTCAGCTCTCCAACTCTAGGCTATCAAACCACCACCATTCAGTAAGAGGGGCACTGTTTTAGTTGGGTTAGGAAAGATGCCTCTCTATACTGCGGTTGGCTGTAGATACTAAAGCCACCAGGGAATTCACTGACAAAATAGGTTTTTGTTGGAAAGTAGTGACATGCTGAAACAAACAAACAAAAAAATCATTAAAATGTACCTTGTTGGCAAAATGTTTCAGAGGAGAACCTTTCTTTGGGTCAGCGTGGAATTACTTCATACAAGCTTTACCAGAAAAGCACCGATTCCTTCTGAATTTTTGTTCAGTACTTGCTCTGATTCCAGCTTCAGTGTCTTCTATTTTTATATTCTTGTTCAACCATTTCCCTTTTTATACTGCAGAGAGCCCTTCCTTTTTTCAGTGTGAGGTGTTTCACAGCATAAAAACATACTTTACTGTGTTCTTTCTTTTCTCCTTATTGTATAACTCTCTTTAACAGATTCTGATTTATCTCGTCTCAGGACTTTCCTAGACAGAGATCTCTACAGAGAGAGTCATGACTGTCTGGACCTTTGGTTCTGACCTGTTTGCAGTTTTCTTCTATATTAATTGTTATCAGTAACCACAAAGCTATTACGTATTTTAATGTGAGGGCATAAGGAACTTACTTTCTTTTCTCTTCTTCCTTTGTTTGCTGAATCTCTGAAGGCTCTTTGCTCTATTCTTGTGGAAAACAGAAAAATTTCTGCCATTTCTGTATGGCTTTATAGTATAGGAAAACTATTTCCCGCCTGGCTTTAATAGACATTTCTGATGTGTTTCCAGAATCTAATGCTTGGGATATATCTTTGTTAATTCTATGGGTATGTGAGGTTATTTATAAAAGCGCAATTGCCATTCTGAACAGAAATGTTTCAGCCATCAAATGCATCTGATTATACATGAAAAAATATACAGATTATATAATATTTTTTCTGTTCCTGAAAAAAGATAAAGGTTAGTCAAAATATGCTCAGTGTGTACATATACATCTATCTGTCTCCCTATTTTGTTAATTCTATGGGTATGTGAGGTTATTTATAAAAGCGCAATTGCCATTCTGAACAGAAATGTTTCAGCCATCAAATGCATCTGATTATACATGAAAAAATATACAGATTATATAATATTTTTTCTGTTCCTGAAAAAAGATAAAGGTTAGTCAAAATATGCTCAGTGTGTACATATACATCTATCTGTCTCCCTATCTCTATAGAGTACATCTATCTGTCTCCCTATCGCTATATAGATACACACAGAGTTTTGGATGTTATGTTGGCACTGCTATGAATAAATATCTAAAGCATATTTTAGAAGTGCAGAGAACTCAGTTTCATCATGGAAGTTTTCCAGTGGAGGAACACGGTCCACTGACACACAGTCAGAGAAAGGCATGTTTATAATGTAAGGATGTGAAATTTAGGGATGTAGGAAAGTAACATGTGCTCTGGCTACGGAAGGTCTTTGTCTTTGGGTTTGAGACCAAAACTGTAATGATATGGTGGATCGAACTCAGCTGGTGGTGTTTCTGTTGCATTCCACGAGTTGTGTAGGTACAGTCTTGTCATTTAAATTTTCTTCCCTTAACAATCACTTTCTTAAATTACGATTATTTTTATCTAATTCTGAGGAACATCTTCTTTCTGAACAACTTTGGCAGCTCTCTTGCTCCTGTAGTACCTGTTTCCTCCATATGCTGATGCTTGTTGAGCTTCTATCTGTCTCTTCTGTCCTTCTGTCTCTTCACAGCCATGCCAAGCTTCATTCTTTTTGGCCACTCTTCATCAGCTTAAAGCTACTATGCTCCTGCATTTGAACTATCATTATCACTCCAAGTATTTTTTTTTATATATACATAGAGCTCCGTCTGCATATAGTAAGAACAGAATGTCAAAAATGAGATGGTTTTCGAGTAGCTTTATGTTGATAGCTACTTTCACAGGTCTTCTTTTTTATGCTTGGTTTCCTTTCAAAACCACAGTCTAGACATTCTCAGATCTGCACTCAGTTCATAGAATGACATTTTTACATAGAAGTCTGCTTATTGGTCAGTAATCTAGCAGGATATTAGGGTCAGGGATCCAAGGGTCTGCATTTTTACATGCATACCACTTTGGTTTTTATGATAAGACTGATTGTCAAGTTTGAATTTAGTTATGTACGTGGATTGAACTGGCAAAGCAATTAAATTTTAAATTAATCCAGCATACTTCTTGGTTTTTACTAAATGTTCAGTTATGGTATGTATGATAAATCCTTCTTATGTTGATTGATGGCAGAAGTAGAGGAAGCAGGATTTGTTTCTGCAGTTGACATTTTAAAGGATAAAACTCACATGTGTGCCTGTGAGAAATGTCAGCTGTACAGGTATGAATTTTTTTAGAACAGTAGGTCTCATTCAGTTTTCATTGCCTGAATGCCATCCTAACAATGTCAAATGGGCTGTAACAAATGGCAGCAATAAATCTATAGTTTTGTCAGATCTGACATTTATTATTAGTGAAGGACCGCTGGAATACACAGGATATCCTAATTCTGGTTCGTATGTATGTGCTCTGCAGATATGCAAAGGTGTTAATCAGGAAGCTGTGTGATGACCCTAGTCAGGAAGGATAGTCAGTCCCAGTGCTGGACAGCAAGCGTTGAAACAAGCTGGCACACTGTTTCGCTATGTTTAAAAGCCATTTGCATTACCAACCTACATGAATGACCCAGGAAGCACAATCCTGCTAAAAAGTGACTTAAAGTAAATTAGATTAAATAGTCACTGTGCGTTCCTACAACCGTGCAAAATAAATTGCCCTGTGCATCGCACTGGCTTAGGAATATTTCCTATTTGCAGGAAATTCTTTTTTTTTTTTTCTCCCTAGTGAATCAGCTATGTAATTTGGTGTATCGTAGTTTCTTTGCCAGTCTCCAGAGTCTACATAACAGTGTCTGAATTTTTGCTGCTGTAAGAAATTGGGGCAAGGGGAAGGGGAGAAGTTCTGCTTACAGAGGCAAGAGGCTGCCAGTTAGCAGGTCAGTGATGGGTAGCCCCGATGACAAGCAGAGCATTTTAGCTCCCCAAGTTAGGACTAGCGGACCAAGAGGCTCCCGCAGGGCAGGGCTGTAAAGGCAGTGCTCCAGTGGAGATGTGAACGGTGGAGTGCAGTGGGTGCATTTGCCTAGAACGGGGCAAGACCACAATGCACCCGTGTGCAAGCAGAAGCTCCCATCTCAGCAGGATTGAGATCTGGAATTTGGACAGGGAGAACCATCCGTGGACCATGACTCATAGTATACTGCCTCTTCTAGGACCGGCATCTCATTGTCTAACTCCCAGTGAACTCCCAACTCATGGGAGTCAGGAGCCCTGAGTACAAGGAAGAGAAGGTTGACTTGGCTGTGCACTGTGCAGCTGCTTCTCCACCTGTAGAAATCCATAAGCCCCTACCCAGCACAGCAGGAATGGTCAGTGGGCAGTCCTTCTGCACTAGTGTGCCTTTGGTGAAGGCTGGAGTCTTGATAAATTTGGAAACATTTTTATATTTCTCTTCCCATTATGAGCAATATAACCCCTTTAGGCCCATTTGTGAGCAGCTAAACAAGTATTAGTAAAAGATGCTTTAGTGAGACAGTCTGAGAGCTCTTGACTGAAAAATAAAACTAACCTTGTACTTGCATCTCGTAGGCTGGGTTTGGTACAGGTGATGACTGCTCCTGGTCTCATTGACATTCTCTGGAGCTGGTTTTGGTATCTGCACCGGGCACTGCTGTTATGTGAATTATGTATGTAATGTGAATTATGATGAAGCATTTATGTACCAGGGAATATCATCACCTCTAGCTGTGTTTAAAATGTATACAGCAGTTGATATGAAAAAAATATTTGTGTTACCCTATTAAATAAAGCAGGAAAGTTTCTGGAAGCCAGATGCTGGGAAGGATTTTCTGTATGTATTTTATAACAGCTGTGTTTTTTAACATGTATGCCCACACTGCTAGCATGAACATGCTTTTCAAGTCTGTGTGCATGCAGCAGGGCATGTGTAACAATCATTATAAACAAATTTTAACTTTGTAGCTGGACTGATACTGTCTTTTGAAGTATCAGCAGAAAGATGTTCTGCTCTCCACATTGTGAAAAGCAGACGTCTTTTTATTTACTTAAGATCAGAAAAAAAAAATCAACCCTGCAGAGATTCTGGGTGTGTATTTCTAGAGGACCTTTGTGTTGGACCTCATTTTACTGCTTGTAGACTGGATGAATAACTGTCTGAGCCTCAGTGAGGTTACTTTTGTCTTTCATGTGTTTCAGTGAAATAACAATATTTCATTTAATTAATCAGGAATAAATTTTTCATTATATGCTTTATAAAGGCTTCATGTGTGTTCTGAATCATACCCAGTTTATTTCTCCAGCTTCAGACCACTTCTATCTTGAAAATTATGTGCTTCATTGCATAATATAAATATCTGGCTTTCTCTATGATGCAGAATGTTATAAAGTGAATAGATATGACGTAGATTTTACTTTAATTTTCAGTTAAACTTACTTTCTGTTCAGGGAGAAAAAGGAAATCAAGGTTTTCCTGGACCAAAGGGATCAATAGGAATTGGCCTTCCTGGACCAAAGGTAAATCCTAGGTTTGCGGTAAGGAAAAAAAGGTAATTTTTTCTTCCTTTATTGGTTATTTGGTGTGACAGGTCTTTGAAGATAAATAGGAGGCAAAGACATTGTCTTGTATAGCTAGCAAGGTAAGTGCATACTACTTTGTCTGTGAAAATACTAATTGTCATTAAGGACCAGGCTCTGAAGTAGGATCTAGAATGAGGTCGTACCTGTTAGCAGGAGAATAATATTGGTCAAATTATGTATTCAATTATCTTCGATATTTTTCAGGTATTACAAAACGTTCTTTTATTTGCCAGGCTTTGACAAAAAAAAGAATTGCTTTTTGACTAATGTCTTTTAAGGGCTTTGTTTTGACTCATTTTTTTTTACAATGATTGAAGCCCAAGCTTGAATCTTTCCTTACTGAACAACTTCCTGGTTGATATAAAAATTGTAAGAATTTCCTACACATACCTATTCCCATCTAACAAATTTTGCACAAAGAGAATTTAAATACTTTGGCTATTTATTAGTGATTTTCAGATGCGCAGCTTCTGATGGGAGCAGCCTAGCCAAAGGAAACCAAGGCTCATGGTCAATGTGGATGTGCAGACCAACTATGTGCATACACAAGAGAGAACAGTGTGCCCAGGCGGAATGAGCGTTGATGTAAATGCCTGATACAGTACACCACCTTTAATTCACAGCATATGCCTGGGCCAGCTGGGCAGCCCCTCTGCAATAATTACAACATAGCTGAAATATTGAATTTATTGCGAAGGCTCTGTCTGGAAAGCCTGAGGAAAAAATCCATGGCAGTCTTCATGGGAGAGCAGAGATGATGAGGCTCTCTAACTTTAAGAAGTTACCCAAATAAGAGTTCAATCCCCTCTAGTCACCTGAGGCAGGCAGTACCCATTCAAAGCCCCAGCCATTTGTTGCCTGCACTAATGATGTTCATGGTACTATGGTCTACACTAGCTTACTTTCTCAGACTTCTGTATTATTCAAGCTACTACAGCTTGGAGCTTTTATGCAACAGTGAATATCAAGCTCTTTCACACAGCTTCAAATTTCTGCCTCCTAATTCTCTTTTCTCTCAGATGCCAAATGCTACATACTATAATAATAATTGCAATATTTTCACTGTTCTTCATATTCATCTTGTATCTTGACTAATCTTCGTGACCCAATGTAAATCTCTCCAAATACAATTTTTCTGTTTGCTATTAATATAGCAGACTTGTCACACATGGAAAGGAATGGTTTAGTTCAGTAGGAATTTCATATAAGTGCCAAATACCAAAGAGATCAGGTTTTAGTATATTTATGTGTAAGAGAGTAGCAGCACCACCGCAGTCAGTAGATCATATTTGCTCTCCCTTATGCTGACATTAACTTTGATGAGGTTAGATTCAATTCATGGACAGGTAATGGGAAGTAATATCCTTTGCTGGATATTATGATTTTGTGAAATAGAATAGAAACTGTCTTCCAAGAGCTTACTTAGTGGAGACTGGTTTTCTTAACGCTGTGGAGGAGCTATGTACAGCTTTCAGGTTTATATCAGTTTGAATAAGATCAGAATCAGACTGAGAGACTCAAAAGGGTTCCTTAAAATTGATAGGAATCACCACGGTGAACGCTGTAACACAGGAGGTGTCTATGTGATTCCATTGGCTGGGTAATAATGAGGAATAATGTCAAAATGGGCAGTAATCTATATAAATTTCTAAGCTCTGAAGTTTCAAGTGAAATGTAAGCTGTTCAGTAGCTTCCAGAGAGAAGTAAAAAACTGTCCTGCACAATCTCCTTCTTGAAGAAATGTCTAATTTAGAACCTGAATCTTTTGATAGTGTGTTTCATATCTGCATTATGTGAAAACTGTGTCTTGAAATACTGTAATGTTGAACCCTTTCTCTTTTTGGAAATCAAAAGGTCTAGTCACTTGAGGAAAAAAGTGCAGAATTGCTTCTAAATGTGAAACTACATATTTTCCAATGGATGTAACAGTCCGAGCATGCCTTTTCCTCTGTTCTTTGCAAGCTCCCAGTTTTTCATGTGGGTTCTATGCAAAGCTGGTGTGAGTTTCAGTACATTGGCTGATCTGAGGCAGTTATGTCTCTCCATAGGTCTGAATTAACATAGGTCCAGTATAAACATTGTTTTAGAGTTCAAGAAAATCAAAGAAGAGTGAAAAATTATATATTCTGGACATTTGCATAAAGATGTCTTTACCCCTCACTCCTGAATTAAGGTAATTTTTCATATAAATTTCTTAAAGATGTTTTTACTGCCCATCTTGCTTTCTCTGAGAGCCTGTTTTCAGATGTTCTCTTCATAATACATACAAGATAAACCAGCCACACAAAAAAAAAAAATCAGAAAATTTATCTTAAAAGCTCATTGAACCATAACTCCAGCTCTGACTATCAACAAAACTGGAGTTACTGACTGTGTTTAATACGGTTGTTTTAAACTAGGGAGACTATGGAGATAAAGGTGATCCAGGGAGCAAAGGTGCCAAAGGAGAGATTGGAGACCCAGGACCTCCAGGACCAAAGGTAAAACACATTTTCATATTACTTAATTTTGCACAACAGAAATTAGACAGATTTGGCTTTTGTTACTTATCTCACCCTACATGTTTTCAGGGAATTTGGGGAAGAAAAGGTGAACCTGGTCTTTCGGTAAGTATGTACATGAATTAATTTAAAGGATAGGAGTTTATTTTGGGAAAATAGTTAAAGGCTATGTGATGTTACACAAGGTTGTTTATGGGGCATTGCATTGCCTGCATTTTTGTAAATAAATAAATAAATAAATTTCAGCATTCTCAAAACTAGAACACACAGCAAATTAATTAATACTCTTTTTCAGAGAGAAGAAGTTATCAGGCTTATCAATGAAATATGTGGTAAGCATTCCAGTATGGAAAAAAAATAGTTTTAATAAAACACACTGAATTTATATTGACTGAATGGACTTGTCCTCTGCATGTTTGTGTGTAAGGATACCATTGATGTGAAAACGATGCTCACTATGTTGCCAGAGCTATACTGGAAGTAATTTGGTCCAGCTCTGTTTCTATTTATCAGTAACTATAAATTAATTCATTAATTGAGCTTTAACTGACTGTAAATCTGATATATGAGTTCAATTTGTTTTTATGAAGGTTGTTTCTCATAAAATGTCTGAAATGGTTATTCTTCTAGGTTGTGGTATCAGATGTAAAGTAACACCACTGGAACTAGTATTTGTCATTGACAGTTCAGAAAGTGTTGGACCAGATAACTTCAATATTATCAAAACTTTTATGAAAACAGTCATTGACAAGGTATCGGCCAACCATGTTACAACCCGCATTGGCATTATCAACTTCAGCCATAAAGTGGAGTTGGTGTCTTCTCTGAAGCAATACACAACCAAAGAAAACCTGAAATCAGCTGTTGATAAAATGCCCTACTTCGGAGAAGGCACGTACACAGCTTCTGCTATCCAAGAAGCCATTCAGTTATTTCAGGCAGCACGCCCAGCAGTAAGAAAAGTGGCTGTTGTAATAACGGATGGACAAGCAGACACTCGTGATAAAGTACAGCTGGATACTGTAGTAAGAGAGGCCCATGCTACGAATATTGAGATATTTGTCATTGGGATCATTCAAAGGACTGATCCTCATTATGACGATTTTCTGAAAGAAATGCAGCTCATTGCAACAGACCCTGATGAAGAACATGTTTACCAGATAGATGACTTCATGACGCTTTCAGGTAAAAGAAACTATTTTAGTAAGAGGAAACTTGAAATAAGCGTATAAGAGAGTTTGGCCTTTCCCATAGCAAGGCAAGGCAGCCTGCTGAATGGCAGCTTCTGTTTCTTTTTTGGATGCAGCTTTCTTCTGTTTCTCTTCTTCTTTGGCCAAATGAAACCTTTGCCAAATTGTTACCTCTTGCAGAAACAATAAAAAACAATGAACATCAGTTTGCTGAGCCGAGGCCTTCTTTGGGGCACTCCTCTTTTGTGAGAGCTTGCATCAGCCTTCCCTCGCAGTCCTTTTGTGCTTGGCCATGGTTTCATCCCAGAGAGGTGCAGATTTCCTTCCACCTTGACGCAACATCTCTGTCTCTTTCTCTCTCTCTATTTCATATGGCTCTTGTCAGTCTTGGAGTCCCTCCACTATCTCTTACAAGCACTCTTTTGGGGTTTTTTCTGAAAGCCATAGGGAAACCTATGCTTTCAGCCTGATTCTAGGGGAAAAGTGGTGGAGCAACACACAAGGGAATGGGGGCTGATAGTACATTGTATATTTCAAACTGTGGCTTGAAAAAGTCCTGTGGCCACAGATGGAATCAGGAGAAAATCCAGAGGAAACCAATAATGACCCATGAAGAAAAAAGTATATTGATCTAGACTAACTGCAGACTAGCCTTATAAAGTATATTTTTCCTGAGCATGAACTAATTTTGCTACGCTGAGCCTGTGGATGGAGTTAAGTCTGGATTTAAGGCGTTAACAGTGAGAAGAGAGTCCAAGCTAAGGTTCTGGTCCCAGCTGGGATTAAACTTAGGCCTCTGACTCAGGCTCCAGCATTCAACATAAAAGTATTCCCAGTCACTGAATTTTTTTGTGCAAATGTGTCGCCCAGTTTTTCTTTTTCCTTCTTACACATAAACGCTTTCTTTCCTTCACTCTGGTTTTTTTTTCCTTCACTGTTGAGCTATGACTCCTGCTTAAAAAAGGGACTTGGTATTTTTATCTGTTCCTTCTTAAAAGAAAAAAAGGGCCTTAAAATCAAATAATTCAGAGAGTGCGTTACTTTATTACTTCTCATTTGCATTTTGACATAACTTTAGATGATGGTCTTTCACAAGTCACTATCATTGAAGATTTAGGGTTAATACTGCACTAAAAGCTTGTGGTGAATCATTATGACTTTTCTTGATTACCCTTAATAAATTTCATCATTTTGTTAATCTTTTCAGCTCTTGAAAATAAACTGATCACAAAAATCTGTGAGAATGTGTCTGAAGTCTACACCAGAAACGATAATGTTTATCTCCATCTCCAAGTCCGGAATCTGAAATTGCTAGTGAAGATACTAACAGCCAGTTACACAAAATGACTACTTCAGATATTTATATACTCCCTACGGAAGGAATCAGTTACCCAGTAAGTAAAGAAGTAACAATTATCAAATGTTTTTAGAAGATGTGTGTCTTTATTTGAATTCAAATACTCTTTATTTCACCATTCACCAGTCTTCTAATATTCAGTTTAATTTCTTGGAATAAGAGCTCCCTCAGTAGGTGTGACTGATTTAGGTTTGGGGCTTGTAATACCTCCAGACAGATCTGTGTGACACTGAGGGTCAATTTTGACATTCTGTATCATTAGGAAAAATAAATGTAAACCTGAATTTATAGATGCTGACTTTATAAAGCGTGTGATAAGGATCACAGGTAGGATTAGTTCTAAGCGATTAGATGCACACACTCTTGGTTCTGGCTAGCCATGGTTATAGTTAAATCTTCAAAACTATTGAATTACTATCAGAAATAAACACAGCCTTTTTGTAGACCTGGAGAAGAAATGCAGTATGCAAAGGATTGGATAAATTGTCTGCACATTTACATTTCACCTAGACTTCAATTTTCAGAGTCCCAATGACTCTGAAGAGTTTTCTTAAACTGACTGAGTGTGTCAGTAGTGGCCTGTAAATGGGAAGATATTGAATAGTATCAAATTCCTTCCCGTTCTCAGCAGGTAATCAGCACGTGGGATTAATGCAGTCGTTTGTACTATACTATACTAAGATCCTTGCAAATCTTCTTGAATATACTAAAACACTAGAGAGCCAAATTTTTATATAATAGTCTTAATTTGAAGAGCAGGGTTGGCTTCTTAACACTTCTATCAAGGTAAACTCTAAAATTCTAATGATTAGCAACTGGCTGTTAGCTAGAAACAGGAAAATGGGTCATTAGTCACTTGGCTTGATACAGGCAAGGACACATCTATGAGACAATCTTATTAATAGGATGTGGTTCCCATAACACAAGTTTTGGAAATTTTTGCTGTATCAAGGGATTCCACATCCAAAAAGATCTTTGGAGGAGCATAATGTACGTGTGTTTTTCTATCAATAACAAGTATCCTGTTCCTCCTGCCTGCCATTTTCCATTTCTTGGCAGATTGAAGATGTCAGATCATTCCCAGTGAGTGTACTAGATGTTAAGAAGCGCTGATTTGCCCCAGAGTTCCTTCCATTTTTTGTTTTATTTATATTACAGACTAAGTGGTGGCTGAAATTTTGCTTCAATGGAATGAATTCAGCTTAGTGACTAAATTGAAGGCATTACTTTGCCTTTTCATTCAGTTCTCGGTGTCAGAAAATTATGGTCACATGCTGAGCAATCACTAGAAGGAGGTCTGAACCCATCTGTTGTTAATGATATTTTCTCACACATTATTTAGCAAAAGTTTCCTACATAATTCTCTCGATTTTTTCTCTTAGCATCTGAGCCCAGATGGAATTTTAAGTTATAAGATTTTGACTCCTTTTGCAGCTTAGTCCACCACGGACCAGATATACTGAGCCACTGCCATCTGCTCAGGATCACACTGCGACTACCTCTGCTCACAGAGAATCGACATTTCCCCTGCTTTATGACATATCTGAAATCAGGTCTCAGAGTCCAGTTGTCAATTCTTTGTTCAATGTAACAGCTACTGAAGATCACCACCTAACTGTGTTGCAAACACAGGTAGCAACAACCGGAAAAGGTAAGTAATAAATACTGTCCTCAAATATTGGGTAGCAAGTCTGCACCAAAAAAACCAACGAGCAAACCCCACTCCCTCCCCCAATACAGTTACTAGATTTTATCACCTTTGGTTTTTCTGGATGCTCTGTCTACAGATATCACATACAGTGAGAGCCAGATTTTCAAACCTAGATGACAAACAACCCTTGCGTACCAATTGTGTGCTTAGGTATTTAAATAGCAGCTTGGTTCTTACATCAGGATTTAGGCAGTCTCATTTCAAACTGATCCTGTATTTGTTTAGGCCTGTTCAGGTAACTCATTAATAGAAATGGAATTTGGCTACAAATTTGAGAGAGGCATATATACGCCCAGGCACTACAAGAAAGAAAAAAAAGGGGTGTTCTTCTTGCTGAAGGAAGCACTTCTAGGATAACGTAACTTCTCCCCAGAATCCAAGCTAACTTTTACTGATATACTTTCAGATCCAAGGTGCTTGGAACCTATGAAACCAGGGGATTGTCGGGACTACGTGGTGAAATGGTATTATGACAAGAATGGCAATTCTTGTGGCCAGTTCTGGTATGGAGGTTGTAATGGTACCAACAATAGATTTGAAACAGAAAAAGAATGTCGAGAAACCTGCATTGATTGATGAATAAGTAAGTTGTCTCCACCAGGTCCTCCTTCAATCACCTCTTTTCCAGGCTAAAAAGATTTAGTCTACTTAAGTGTCTCCCATACTATACATACATATTATATCATCTTTTATACCTTTGAACAACCTTGATACGTTTGTCTGAACCTTTTTGAGATGGTGGGACCAGAAGTGCTCTTGGTAGTCATGGATTTATACAGTGACACAGTGAGGCTTTCTACTTTGTTCTCTATTCCTTATCTTATAGTTTCTACCATTGTATTTGATTTTTGACCATTACTGAGATTGGAGGTGATATTTTCATAGATCATAATTCCAAGACTTCATCTATAGGATGAGCTGAGAACCCATCATATTATATGTGAATTTATGATCATTTTTCCCCTCGCATATTATTTCAGATACCAAAACTCAGTTTTCCTTTTCCACTCACAGCCTACACAGTCAATATCACAAGGTCCTTCTGCAATTTCTTGCAGTCACCCCTTTTCTTTACTACTTCAGAGTAACACAGTATTGTCACCAACTTTGTCACCTCGCTTTTTACTCCCTTCTTTAGATCTCTTACAACTACATTGAGTAGGACAGACCATAGCATACATCCACCAGTGGCTTCTCTCCACTGACCATTTATCCCTTTCCTTTGTTTTATTCTTGTCACCACTTACAAATTAGAAGACTGTCCCTCTCAAACCAGTAACACTTTCCTTTGGGGAAGGACCTTGTGTTTTGGAAATCCAAGCAGACTGTACTAACTGCCTTAGGTCCACATGCTTAGTGAGTGAGGCTTGGACTTCAAAGAGGTCATTTATCAGTAGTGCCTAACTACCTTTACAAAAGCCATATAGCTCATCCCCAATAAATTGTATTAAATACCCTATTTCGTCTTTCAGTACAGAAAAATTCTATTGAACTGCAGCGTGTGTTTTTCTAAACATTTCAGGAAAATTAAACAAGTCCTTATTTCTTCTAGAAATGGCTGCTGTTTGGAGTTTTTAAAGCTGGAAGTTCATGTGTATTGAGGAAGAACTGACCGAGAAGAATCCAAAGTGATGCGTTAACTTGAATATATTACTACCACGCTCTACTACTTTCCTCACTATGGTATTCACTTTAACTAGATTCCTGTATAACGTATGTTATCTGCAACACCGTAGCAATAACTTACAATCACACATACACACACACTGGAACATACCTTTTCCTTCTGAATTTATGTTAACTTGTTACTACTACATGTGGCAATGATGAGGTTCTATTTTTAGGATTAAAATGTCAGAAGTGTTTACACTTAGCATTTAATGACAGAGGTCTCTCAGTGTCGCAGAAGAATAAACTATGCTCTAGTTTTAAACAAGAGTAAGTGGTTCCTGAAATTAGCACTCTTAATACAGCATTTAGAGACGTAAATTAAGATTTCCATTAATTAGAGTACCTCTTTGGAATGTAAATAGTTCCCCCCCCCCCCATTAAAGCACATTTGGATTAACATCAATATAATCTTTTCGATTATAATGGTAGGACTTTCATTCAGAATTACATTAAAAACAGGATTCTTCATGTCCTTTAGGCTAGTCAGTACATTTCAATTTCTCAGGGCCTCTGTGTTAAAAAGAAAAGTTATTTCACTCTAATATATGCTATTAAATTAAAAAAGAGAAAAGCACTGAAAGATGTATATAAATGTTTACCTGTATCCTTTCTACTTTTAGCCATAATCCTATATTAACGTATCGTTAAAACTGAAAATGATGAGCATGTGATTAAAATGGAAAGCAATACCTCTTTAAGAGTCGTGCATTGTTATTTACATGTATGGATGCATGTATGGACAATTCTTGATACATTAAACAATTGCTTGCACAATTTCCCCCCTGCCATGTAACCAAATGATAGCATGTACCATGCAAAATGAACTTGTTTGCAGCAGATAGGTTGCAAACCTAATTCTATGGAAAGATGTGCTTGAAGTACAGTTTAAAAGTTTTTAATTTTTTTTTTTTCAAAAAATCTGGCACTGTTAGTGAGTTTCAAATTAGAAAAGAAAAAACTGACAGCAGCCCCAAAAAACTGTCCTGCTCTTATTATACTCAGAACTAATATGATGATCATCAAAAAAACCCTGAGGGCACAATTAATTTCTGCGTGACATGGAACAGTAAAACTCAAGGACGTTACCTTATACTGTGTGTCCTGTGATATTCTGAAAATGAAGGGACTCAATGGTGTAGAACAAAAGTCAAGCTGTTGAAATCAAGAACTAGTTTCCTTTCACAGAAAAAAGATCAGAAAGTAAAATTTGACACAACTTTTAATAAGTCTGTTAGGGTTTTTTGCATCAGAAAAATAAATTGCTTCAAAGTATACAACAAATGATATAGATGGACTCTTGTGATAAATAAAATCAGCTACATATAAAGCTGGACATAAGCAGCAAATAAAATGAAAGGTCAAATAAAAGGCTTGAAGCAAACAAACTGCTTACTAGTGGTGCAAAAAGATCATGGAAAGAATGAAACTACTGTTCAGTAGTAAAGCCAATGCCATCATACCAAGAATATCAATGCGCTGGAGACCTTTAACAGTGAACAGATGTCAAAAGCAAGAGAGGAATAAGCACAAAGTTTAGGGAGAAAGAAGAGCAAGAGGGATAGACAAAATGATGCTTTCAAATTGGCTGGAAACAGTAGATTCAAAACTTAAAACATACTAAACTATAATGTTAACATACTGTCAAACTTGAAAGATGTATTGAGAGACTTTTTTTCTAGGCTAGGTCTCAAATCCAGTATTCAGAATTCATTTCAGTTAGATGACTAAGGCAATGTAAGAAATATTAAAACAAAAGAGGCAGTGCAAACATTTTTAAGAAAAAGATTAGCACAAAATGAGACCCTCAAAAGAAGAAAAAATCATCTGAAGAAAAAAAAAATCACCAGCACCCCCCCCAACCCAAAAGGACCCTCGCCCCACAGCAGCCTGGAGCCAGTAACAGCAAGTGTGACATCCTACACTTCAGCAGGAATGATTCATTGCACTGATACAGGCAAGGAAGTTAAGTTGGAGGCATAGATAGATACGGATAACTAGAGAGAGTGAGAGAGGTAGGTAGATACAGGGATAGAGATACGTATCCAATGACGATATAGAGAAAAGATCTTTTCATCCAGAAAAGATGAAAAGTTTGCACAGTTAAACTCTACTGTAGATTACTTTATGGATAGCCGTAAAAAAACTCTGAGTGTAACAGGTTCCAAGAGCCACTTCATTTCACACCTACCAGGAATATTTTAGGTAGGTGCAATTCCCACTGGAATTGCAAGGAAGTCTAGGAATTTGCAGGATCTTTCAAATCTGTTCTAATCTGTGCCTGGGCAGTTGTTTCAGGGGTGGGATTAGGTGTTGTGTTCAGCTCCAGATGTCCAGACAGATAGAGATGTCTTGTCTAAGAAATACTGGGGATAATGAATTTGGGCATAAATGTGAAGATGTAAGTTACGGGTTTGCAATAATATCTTCTATAATGCTTAGTGCAAACTGTCCTGGTAACGTTAGCAAGCTTTAGTAAGTACAGATAGTGACACCATTTGCTACGTAACAATGCTAAAAAAAAGAAGCAGTTACTCTTCAACATGCATACAAGGAGTCTTCTCAATGCAATTAAACCAGTGTGATCCAGAAGGTCTCTGCTTTCTTTTCCGCTTTCATGTAGAGTTGACTAAACCTCTTGTAGCAAAGGAGCAAAAGTGAAGCCTATAAAGGTTTTTTAAAAGTTGTACACTGTTCAAATCAGATTATCCTGGAATAAGCATCCATTGCTATTCAGGTCTTTCTGTGAATCCCCAGGCTGCAAACTCTGAATATATGCTCTGATATTTAGTAAACCATGAAAAAGCATGTAAGTCGCCGCTGAAAGGACAACTCTTCTCTCCATCTGTATCAGCACTGACTGGCAGCATTGGCTCCTGTGTCTCCTCGCCCAGCTCTGCATCCTCAAGGGTGTCATGGGTCAATAAACCAGGAGAGGGCACCTCTTGCCAAACATCCACTGCTTTATTCTCGGGTTGTATAAAATCATAAAACATCATTACTAACTGAAAGCATTACAGTTTCCACTGGCAAGCAAACGAACCCTTTATTTACATCGCAGGCCAATTTTAAAAGCAAGAATAGTTTAATCATGAAATCCTTAAATCTCCTGCTAGACCAGGCCAAATGCTATAAACCATAAAAGCTAAAAATGGTTGAGAATAACAGAGGCTTTTCTTTTCTGTAGAACTGATCATTATAAGGTGAATTCTTTTTCTGACATCCTTGCTTCTAGCAATTCAGAAAAAGACTCGGAAAATTAACAAGAAAATAGTACCCCATCTGCTCATCGTAGAACAGCAGCAGCTTTTCACTTTGAGAAACTCTACCAGTCTCTTGCTAACAGCTATCAAATTGAATTCATCTTTTGCCTTAACCCAGTTCAGTCACTGTCTGTCCCCAGGGCCCATTCAGGCTGTTTAATAACGCTGCCTGTTCACTGACCGTCCTGCTGTCTGCACTCCTCTGTTTCTTCTACATCTTCAAATTTCCTCTCCGTTACCCTAAATTGGCTGAAGATACGCAACATTTCCTGCACCGCAGTTTCGAACATACTTGGAAAACCGATTACCGCGTTTCCTCATTTGGAAGTTGCTGTCAAAGACATTCCTTGGGGGGAGAAAAAAAGAAAAAAAAGTCTTTATTGATAGCATGGCTGAGACCAGCATCCACTTTTTTTAAAGAAAAGTTTTACAGACAGTATAGATTTATCGCAGCATTCCTGCACTTTTCTTGCTCAGCTGCTTTCTTAGCTCTTTTGGTGCCATCTGTACATACAGCACACCCTTCTCGAAGCTTGCAAAGGCATCCAGCTCACGGCACATAGTTTAAAGCAAGTTCTCACGGGTATTGATGAATTTTTAAAAAAGATCTTTTGTTAAAAACAAAATAAACAACTCCTCTTCCTCCACCCCTCAGTGAAAGGGCCAAAGTCTTCATGGGCAGGTGTGTGGGCTGGGACACCCCAGCTCTACCTGCGCGTAGAGCGACTTTACTGAGGTCTCCTGACACATGAAATACTGTAGGTCCAGCACTGAGATCTTTGACATCCCCATTATCTACTGTTACTCCTCCTGCAGCTTCTTATCAATTGTCCTTTATAGTAATTTCAGTCTCCTCAGGCTTGCTTTTTACCTTGCCAGTTGCAGAGCTCTTCCAGCTGCTGCTGAAGCTGCAGCAGATCAAGGTTTTGAAATCGCACGGGTGAACGTAAGCAGACATCTTGGCTATCATACTTGGTAGCTAGTCAAAGAAATATAAATTATATTTAGTTGCTAGATTTTTACTTGAGACGGCCTTATATTTAAGTGTCTTTAGTTGCAGGAGTATTATCACATCTTTTAGTAGGGACACAATCGAGTCTAAGCTTCAGGGATAAACGAAACCCAGATTTTGAGGCAAATTCTGCTTAAGCTTGGCTTTTTTTTTTTCTAACCAGGAATATGTAGAAATTCAGCCAAATGGCTAAGGCTCTAAAATGTGATCCATAGAGACTTTCTATTCTGGCTTTCTAACGGTACGTAAGACCTATTTTAGAGCAATTCCCAAGATGAAAGGAAGAACACGTGGGCTGTCCTCCTTGTCTCACAATCTGTGCTTTCAGCAGCTGTAACCTCCCTACGTGCGGACAGGGAGGGAGAAGGGAGATTTTTGCATTTTATTGGCATGGCAAAAGGGATCTCTCCAACATCTGGCGCGGTTGACCCTGGGACACAAAGGAAACCATTTCTTATTGTAAAAATAATGGTAGATAAGAATTTTGACAAGAATAAATCTGGCAACCACAAGGCTCAACATGTGAGTAAACCCCCCAAAAGAGTTTTGGATTAGCTTTAAAATTGTTGCGAACTCGGCTAATTCCAGGTGCTGCTGGAAGTGTTTGGGCTGGCGCTCCTCTCCCAGCAGCTTAAAGCTTTTGGGACACTTAAATAAACCTGCCAGAGCCGTAAATAAATGAGCAACAATTCAAAAAAGCCCCCAGGCCCAGCATGTGCCTGGGTACGTCCCCTTCGGTAGCAGGGCTGGGGAAGAGGGGCTGCGGCAGAGGGACGGTCAGCGCATGGAAGGCATCGATTCGGAGAAGGCTTTCCGGGATTTTGTGGTCTGGCTGCTGCCTGCTGGCCCAGGAGTGCCCCAGGCTCGCTGAGCACACAGGCACGGGTGTGGAGAGCGCAGCAGGGGAGGGAGGCTGAGGGCAGTTAGTAGTGATTTTTCCATGGAAAGCAAATAGCTAGTAATTCCTCTGAATTACCATCATGATGTAATTGGCAATTTCAGCTACTTCTTACTTCATTCAGGGCAACTCCCTAGCGCATCGTGTTTTCTCAAAAGATAGCTTCTGTCAGTTTTAACTACATT